ATATTGAGTTACCTAATTAAAGATTTTAATTTCATGCTATTAGCTTTCATGTATTACAAAAGTTTAATACCATACAGTCATCATGACAATCTATGGATGGATGTGACAAGTGGATGGGTCATTTACTTTTCATGAAAACTCATTTAGCGACCCTATAGCACGTCAATATGTATGACTATATCACTCACTGTTGATTTGTTCTGAAGTAAGACATTTTTAGATATATTGTCTGGCCTATTTAAATGGGTCACAACACTTTATATCTGCATTGTTACTTCATTCAAGCATATTTGGTCGTACAATTACAATCGGAGTAGACACAAGTTATCACAACTAAGAATTGCATTTTCCGTGCTAAATTATTTTTACTTTCAGCTGCAGTGACAAGTAATCTTGCTTTTACGATACATTCTTTTAGTTACTTTTTTGTAAAGATGTATATGTATTATTTTTCACCACAGTCATTGTACAGAGCATTGGTTTAAAAAGGGATAGCATACAATTGTTCGTTTTAATTTTACAAAACAGATCACGTGTTGATATTTTCTCGCTGCGCATACTTTATGTACAAAATATAGACAAAATAACAATTAAAACAAGACATGAATCTGTTTTGAAAGGGCAAGCGTCTAATACTTCATTAGGTTTGAAAAGGTAAGCGTATTAGACTCCATTTGTTGCGAAAGGGTAAACGTCATGAACTCAATTTGTTTCGAAAGGGTGAGTGTCGTTTACTTCCGCCATGTAATGCAAGGCCTATGTAAGTGGCAATATGTTAATAAAAATAACGAAATTTCAACACATTTTTCTTTAGAAATATGAACCGAGTCGATAGCAGATAAACAAGTTTGTAATATTTGTTTACTAATAGATTAAAAGCCTCTGTTGTTCTGACACAATTAATTATCCCCATATGTTTGTTACAGTGTCGGACAGAGGCAGCTGCTGTGTCTCGGACGAGCCTTGCTCCATAAAAACAAAATTCTCATCCTGGACGAGGCCACTGCCGCTGTTGATATGGAAACTGATGAACTTATACAACAAACGATACAGACCGAGTTCAGTGATTGTACTGTCCTTACCATCGCCCATAGACTTAACACTATCATGGAATATGACAGGTTAGTTATGTATGATAAAATATTTAAGTTCATTGAAAAATCTCCTTGATTACATTCATATTACTGTTTAGGAGGAAATATTCTCCCAGGATTATTTCCGCCCTTGAATCGAACTTTTCATTTTCGCTTAGCATTAAATTCGCCCCCAATATCTTAAAATGTCTACAACAACCAACATTAGCCCACTTATTATTGTTTTCGCCCTATTTCTTAAACGGAAAACAGGCGAAAAGTTTCAAATCAGAGAGATAAATACTTACCATGATTCTTACATTTTGTTCGTTTGATGTAACCATGCACAATTAAATTGGACCAGCTTTGAATTAGCGATAGTTTGCAAAAGCAACAGTGTATACGTAAAGATAGTAACACTTATCTGCCTTTAAGCTATTGTAACACGTAAACCATTGTGTTTGTTTACTGTTTTCTCGAACTTGAAATGGTGAGGTCGGTTGTCAAATAAAATCAGCTTAATAAAATGTGCACACAACGGCATTTATCTAAGAACTTACTGTCTACAAAATGTATGATACAAATGACACGTACAATATAAGAATATGGTGATCATGAATTGAGTCAAATATTGATCACAATAACATAAATACCTCCATTTTTGTTCATATCGGAATGCAAAAAATGGATCATGAAAACTTAAGAAACACTATTTCCATTTTTCTTTTTTAATATATTTTTTATTATTATTATTAAGGCAATTTTCAATTTGTTTTTGACAGGGTGATGGTTCTGGATAAAGGTCTCATTACAGAATTTCAAACCCCGCGGGTACTTTTACAGGACAAAACAAGTGTATTTTACGGAATGGCCAAAGATGCGGAACTAACAGACTGGTTTGAGAATGAAAAATATGCAAAGAAACTGTGAATGAGACTATCGGCATTAAACAAAAAAAATACTTGCATTAAATGCGTTATTTCCGATAAGGTTGTATTGCAGCATACTTAGAGTGTGTGAATGGTATCAGAATAAGTGTTATATAATTAGTCAAAAGATTGACAAAACAGAGTGAAAATATGTTGTGAAAGTTATGACGGTGCGCCTATATCATGCGGCGGCTATGAGGGTGTCAACATTTGTGTTTATCTCGAGTGCGATCATCACCTAACTTGTTCTATATAAGCAATCGGATCTTTGTACAAGTTATCAGTTATTTACACATAATTGACAATTAATTGGACTCTAATTGACTTTGATATATAAAGTTTTGCTCTACATGGAGCCTTATTGCATACTTATAAATATACATCACCAAAAAATCATTTTAGATTCAGAACTTCACTAAATTAAAATATTCAATCTCCGATAACTCACAGATGAAGTTTTAATGGAATTGTTTATTCGTTCCTGACCAAATTGTTTCTTTTAAGTTTTGATGAACCCGACTGTTCCTCATCATCCTGTCGACTTCGAGATAACGACGTTTGGTTATATCTGTAATCAACGATTGAAAGCTGAGTCCAATAGTTTCGTTGTAGATAAGGAATATAATCAATGGATACATGTCAACCGAATACTTTTATCTATTCATTTATTTTATCGATGCGGCCATAATCAGAAATTGATGAAATTATTATGGTAATGACTCCAGTAATCATTCTTTTATTATGATCTACCTTTTTTATGGAATTAGATTCATGCATTTTCTTCATCTTTTTATGAAAAAAAAGGTTTATAATAAACTGCAATTAATTTACTTTTAAATGGAATGTTTATGAAACGAATCGTGGATATGTATGTGAAAAAAACCTCCCATAGCAAATCATTTCCTTAAACATTCACTTCTACCCAGATAAACTCAGTTTGAAATCAGAGAAAAATATCTGTTCAATCATTAAATGAATTTCATGTGCCTTAAAATGCCTTCAATGCCGACAACAGGATTGACAACAGTCACTGTTTCGATATTTATTTAGTAATGATGCAGACATTTGACAAGGAAATACATAATATATTAATGTGTTACAACAAGTAAATTATTGCTATGGAAACAAAAACATGATTTAGCAATAGATATTACCAAAATGATTTGTCTCTATGTTAAATTAATTTTTATGTATGTGGTATCATTTCCCGAAACATCTCAAAATTTCTTTACGAAATAGTTTTATATTAGGCAAGAAAAGAAACCGTGGCTTGAATTGATGATAATGTGAATAAGGGTTTGGACGATATGGTTCTTGAAGGAAAATAGATCCATAACGGTTGATCTAAAATCTAGACTATTTCACATCATAATTACAAATATAACTTGAGGTTTGTCAAATCCCACGGCATGTAACACCAATCTAATCTTTATCATGTGCATTTAAATTTCTAGGCAGTTTTCGAATTCAACTAGAAAAAAGTTCTAAATTATTTTAATAATATTTCAAATGCATTTGAGCAGGCTAGCTTGATAGCGAAGGATACCATATCTATACATTAAACAATCTTTCGAAATAAGAAATACTGGCTAATCATGCTTAAGAATAACAATCATTTAAATTGCCTACTTATGACAAGGAACTCCATTGCTTATAGTGAATTCCTTATTTTCACAGGAATTAATGCAAACAATGTGTTATTGCTGTCTCATGTAGTTGCTAAACCTTACTTTTGACCAAATTTCTTCCCGCCATTGTTATCATTATAATATATGGAATGCAGTCTTGTTGTGATGTTGTTTACTCCAGATGTGGAATAAATGGTATTTTGAATACCTCCAAAGAGCTTGGCCAATCTTCAGCACCCTCTTATCGCTTATTGTTTCACTCTGTACACCACCGTTCCAAATCTTAAACTGAAAAAATGTCTTCGTCCTTTTGTTGTGGGTCTATATTTTCTAAGAAAGATAAACGTGGTGTAATATATGGTTGTGGACTACACTGAAGTGTATTTCGTTTCAAATACTTCTAAATGAAAGAAGAAATAAACGAAGGGCGAAATGAAAGAGATGATCGAGGTACTGGTTGACTTGGGGTTTGGTGGTAATACTTTCCTACAGACTATTGGCATATGGAAACTAGTCGCGCGGACCTCTGTTTGCGGATTTAATTGTATTTTCATACCAGGCTAAACTTATCGAAAAACTCTTTAAAACAGGTGACAAAGACCTTGCAAGTTCTTAATATTACTTTCAGATATTTTGACAACATCTTGCATTTTAGTGAATATTTGGATCGCTGTGGTTTTCACCGGTTGATGGCCCTAATGTCCATTTATGTGTTGACGGACCGTTAAGAATGTCATTATACTAATGATTGTCTTCAAATATTAAGGACACGACAGACACGTTTACATTATCCATTTATCAACATAGACAGTTTTCAACCAAGCTGTATGACAAGTGAGATGGCCTCATTTTCCTTATCGCAAATTTTCTATTTCTTGAGAGCAACACCCGTGCAGTCAACCGATGATGTTAATATGTCATAGTTGAATATTCAAGGGCATGTAACCAACATTACGATTATCTTGCATGGCAAATTCTTAACACAGGTTCTCAAGATACAGGGTGATGAGAGTTTAGGGAAGTTGTACGGTCGTCATAGTGATATTCATCGATAAATGTTGAATTTTCTTTATGCAAAATGAAGCTGGACGTGTTTAATGCTTGTTAGTTTGCCTGATTGTTCCATTTGAGAGCAGCCTTACATTGCTTACTTTGATTGAACAACTTGACCTGGTGGGTATCGCCGGTAAAGGAGAAGGCGCTTACATTTCCAGAAAACATGGTCTTATTTTCATTCTACCTTTTCATGAGAATTCGCAAAAAAAAAATCTGTATACATTTGTATTGAATTGTAGATTGAATTATGTTGATGTCCACATGTTGTCATTTTGTAGTATTTGCTGAACCTTGCAAATACTTTGCTAAATCAAACGTGGTATGCAGGTTTCAACAAATCTCAGCAACTGAAAATCAACCAGCAGTGTCTGTCATTTTTTATCTAGAAGATAGTACAAATTGATAGCTCCTTTCTTTCATTAGCAAAACTATTATAACATACTGAGAACGTTTGAGTAAGTTTGGGCTTCGTCTTTTTAGTTCATTGGCACTATACAATGACGTTGAAGCTGATAACATTATGCGAGTAAACTTATATGACCTACATGTATCGATAAGACCTTAGACGTAGCACAATAAAAACCTGCTTTTGATATCTGTGCTGACTTATCATAAACCAAATATAAATTTGACTAATGGAAGGTAGACATGTCCATTACTGCGTCAGCCGAGCAGTTCAGGAAACTTGCTCGAAAAATATGATGAAGCTGCCTCGATATTGCGAATCCTTTTTAAACAAAATTGCACAAATGTTACAACAGTGTATAACACTTTCAAGTACAAATTTAGAATTAGATAAGCAAAATAATGTACTGACTTATCATGCAGCTTTGTCATCAGCATACGAGCTGACGGTGATGTTAAGGACCATTAAGGGCCATTTGAACTATTTTCTATAATGATCTACGTCGCAATGAATTACAAGATTTAATGTCTACATGAAAGCTGAAAAGACAGTCTTTTCCTGAAGTCAAATCCTACATAGATTTTCACAGGTCCTCATCCTTAACATTTTTAATGTTTGAAAAGGTGATATGGCAAATATATTCACTTTTATTCATTATACACGACATACCAATGTAACGAGATACAAAGTACATAAACAAATTAGGTTCGGCGGGAAAAAAGTATACAATGGAGATCCTGAACGCGAACTCGAAATATTGACTTATCAAAAAGCTGACAAATCACGGACATGACGATTGCACAATTTCGCGCATTATCTTTTGGTAACAGTGCAACAGTATATGACAGGTTCACAGGGGCATCGTACGTAAATGACCTTTCCTACCATATTGTTTGTACGTAGACAAAATGGAGTTGATGTATTCTGCAATTCTTTTAGGCGTATTGTTTACACCGACATTTGCAACAAGTGGGTTGAAATTTATTTTAAAATAGTTTATCACCAGCAGTTTAAGAAAGTATATCTGTTCTTGGTTTTGAATGTAAATTCTTTTTAATCCTACAACAAAGGCGAGAAGAATCTTCTGTCGTGATTAATGATTTAGTTAGTATCATAATTTTTTTCATTTTTTCCATCTATGTTTATCTTATGTTTATCCGTTTTTTCCCGCAGTTGTCCATAATTCAGAACAAAACTTCAAACAGTCAAATTTAAAATAGTTCTTGACACTTGCAGTACGTGGTATGGAGGGTTTGCCTTCCATGTCGAAATCTAAGTAATATTGTCGTTATTCTTTATATTTCGCCTGATTCCTTGTGAATATTGGCACAGTTACCAAATATACAAACGTTTTCACATATTGAAGACTCAAATATTTGTTCATGTGATCTAGCTGCCTGTGATGCCACTCTCCACGGTGTATGCGTCAACCTTTACGCCCAAACAATCTTCTGCCCCATAGGTAAGTGATATTTAAACCATTTTAAAAGAATATGTTTATAACTCAATTTCAATGGTCTTAACAAAAGGAAAATTAATGGTTGAAAATGAAAGCTCGGCACGAGTACTGCTTACTTTTAACATTGTAACATTCCACTGCAAAAAATCTTGTCATTATAAGGAGCAAGGACATTGAATGGTGAATGAGAGGTTCTCCAGACAATATTCTCTCGTTCAGAAAAATGCATCTTTCTATTGTGATGGTTAAAAATACCACGTTTGAAAGGGATCACTTGGATATTACGGTAGGGGATCTACGGACAAATTAAAGTTAACCAATTCCATAAAATTACAAGTCCTAGGTATACGAATAAGTGTCCTTCCTTTCGTTGATGATCCATTACTTACACACGTGATGTTTTATTCATGATAATTATTAAAGGTAGACAACTCAGCCAACAGGGAGGCACACTCAGTTCATAATGGTCTCATTTTGGAGTTTTTCTTGAGTTACATTGTTCGAATTTCGTTTATGTAGGGGTGATTTCGTTGTTAGATTAATCCTTTTTAACATCGTGACAAATCAAATTTAATTGGCATAACGGTCGTCATCGATGAACCAAAAGTCCATTACCCTTTATAAATACATGCTTTCCCCTCGTACATTTTACCTTCAATCATGCCCTAAAAATATATTCCTGAGTCATTATAACGACTATATTTCCAAGTTCGTATTACCAATTAATTTTTGGTCTGCGATCAGTATAAAAAGTTGAAATTTTATCAGATGTCATACCTTCCCTAAGGTAATAACCTATTGACCCGAATAAATTTTAGATATTAAAATCAACCCTGAAAACCTTATCTAGCAACGTTTTGTTGCACGTAATCTATTTTGTTTCTTCTCCATTTCACGTGACCTCTCCCTGACTTTTCAACGACTGGTCTGGTTTGTCAGCTATCGGACAATGGCCCGAGTCATATAACTAAAGATCGCTATCGCATTGCAAAGTGGACAGATGTTTTCAAAAAATCGACTTGTTGTGTAAAAGAGAAATTGTACCCTCCATAGACATTATTTTCGTGTGACATTTGATTTTATAAGGGCGTAAAACTATTATGTATCAATAAGAGGGAGGGCTATTATGACCTTGCTGATGTCTAAACTTGTAAAATGGAATACAGATTGGACCAGTGCTTCATTTATCTTTATTTTCTTTTTATATCACTGATCACTTAACCATTGTATAACTACTACTATTTCATCAGACACTGTTGAGGAACATGTGGGTGGGGAGTTTTATGACTGACATACTTACCTCATAAGGACATTTTCTGCTTCAAGTTGGATGCGATAAATGTTCATTAGTATGCCAATTGCTGCTTACCTTATTATTTTTTCGGTACATGGCATTTGGGAAAGATCAATATTTAAATGGCGCATATTGTCGATGGAGACGGTTACAATTCAGAACACCAGGGCCCTTATTCATGAAACCGTTTTCATGCTGAAGCATGATTTTTGTGCTCAAGCCTGATGTCTTGTTTAAGTTAAAAATTGATAAATAAGACTGATTTAACCAAAGATTTAAAAATAATTTTGAAAGGACTTCAAGTCAAAGTCATATTCCATGTTTATATTTGACATTTGTATTATTTTATATGATTTAGGTGAATCATAAAAAAGTTTGCTTGAGCACGAAATCTATGCTTGAGCATGAGAATGGTTTCGGGAATATGGGCCCTTGTCTTTTTTTCTAGTATTTATTCAGTTGTATTCGTGTTATTTTGCCTTTGACAATATATTTCCCTAGTTTCATTGGATTTTAGACTTGAATTAATGATCCGTTGACATGTCGGTTTTAACCTTCGTGATTTTGACAGGAGATTCCTTTACCATTAGCTTCTGTGGATTTATGCAAGGGTGTTGCTATCCAACGTACATAACATCTAGTACGCACGGCAGTTCAGGAACACAGAGTTCATCATCAGGCTCCCAAATTACTTCCGGTACACCAAGCTCGTTAACCGGAGGTAGTTCACCAGGTAAAAGATCATGTTCAATCCTTAATTATTGCATTACATATTGAAATGCTATTCGCTGGAGTTGGAAATACTGCTTAAAAACATTTCGTTGACTCAACCGGAAATGGTCATTTGAAAATTTAGTGCCCAAGGGAAAGTAAGTGAACCAGTACATTTCCGACTAGACCGCGAACTGCTGTTGCAATTTCTCACATGATTGTAAACATTCTTTTATGTAGCGGATAAGAATTTTCCATCAACTTCCGGCTGTGTGTATAGTACACAAAACTCTTCTCTCCTTCCTTATAAATACTACCACGTCATTTTGATGTGACTGTGTGGAGTGATTCAGTTTCGAGGTTATGCCGATACAATTCGATGTCACTTTAGTCATATATAAATGTTTGTGCTGTATTCTTCCTCCAAATAATCCGAATATATACACAAGTATAAGATTACTACCGATTTAAGCATCACTGTGGAGTCCTATAAAGACGAAACAGCTGTATGATGCAGTTAACTTCATTGTTTGGCTTTGCTGAATTTGATTCAATTTTTGTACAAAAATGATGTTATTTATTTATATTCATTTGTCTTTCATACAATTATCTTAATTTGTAATAACTTGACTATTCAAACATTTTTTGTAGTAATTATTTTAAACCTGTTGCATGAGTTAGTGAGAGTATGGTCAAACGATTTTCTTTTGAAATGCTTAACATTTTTACAAGATAAATGTGGAACCAGTGCCGTTTCTCACACCAAGATAGTTGGAGGTACAGTGGCGACCCCTGGAGAATATCCGTGGCAAGTTTCACTTCGTTATGCCGGTCAACACATGTGTGGAGGTACACTCATCAGCAACCAATGGGTACTTACTGCCACTCACTGCTTCGAAGAGTAAGTTGTCACATAACCTCTACTGACCTTCGACACTGTTTGCTTTCTGAGGTCTTATAGTTTTTAAAAGCGTTTTTTCCAATATCATGACTTTTAATCTACTGTATTTGTCTCTTTGACACTGAAATGTCTAAAATAAAACTGGCTTCATTGTGATTTTATTTTTGTCATTATTATTTCAGCATTTGCGAGAATATTTATAGAAAATAAAACAAACTTCCGTTACAGTACCGGAACTTCACATTGGACTGTTGCCACTGGAGTCCATGATCGTAGCCACATCTACACCAGTCAAATACACAGAGCCGTGAATGTGATCTCCCATACCGGGTACTATAAAGTAACCCATCATAACGACATCACATTAGTAAAGGTAAGGGAAGCCACTCGGAAGTGATAAGCACTATCAAAGACTTTCATGTCACAATTACTTTCATTGGAATATTCTGTATAGAATAAACAATTTTCTCCTTTGTCTTTCTTGTATCGGAGAGCCGATATTCCACTGTATGAAAGGAGGAGGCAACTGGAAGTGTTCCATGTAGAATCAGAGTTGTCGTCCTTGTCTCCACTCAATCGGACATAAAGGGACTAAATCAATTGTCTTGCAACTCTTGGGATCTCGTCTTTTCCTGCTTACCCAGTCCACTCTGTGTTTTCAGTTTTTGTCTCTCTAGCCACCAGTTTTCATAAACAGTGTTTATTGCCATGAAAAAAACCTGAACTGGTTAACAATTCTAGAAGTCCAAATAGCCAGCTACTAACAAAATTGTTTTTCTACCAAATGCGGACAATGTATAAGGCAAACTCGATTTCTAATCATAACATTAGCAATAGCCAGCAATATTATCTCGGACACGCTTGGGTGAACCCCATGCAGATCTGTTGCACCTTTTTTCTGTCCAAAGGTACATGAGACCTTTATGGTATGTTATTGCATGTTGTAACATTTTAGAAGAATAAATTCCGTTTGATTTTTTTTTATTTTCCAAGACATACCTCCCCTCATTTTCCTACCAATATCTTTATAACTTGATAGGCTTTACCTCCATGACACGAGTTCGTGATTTCATGGAAGCCATTTCGATTTTACAATTATTTAAATCGTTATTCCCCTTTGTTTACTTTTTTCCACATTCTATCTTTGTTCACAGATATATAGCTACTTTCAAACATAGCATTCTCTTCATCCGTAGTATTTTGACTCGACGAATATTGGAAGAGAAACTGTCGTTTGTTTGGCTGTTCGTTTCTATATTCTGGTCTTTACTTCAGCTGTTTCTAGTCTTTTTTCTGTGCAAAATAGCATTTGGCATACGCTACTCACGAGCATTGGTTGTATTTTCACTTCATACTATAATTTTTTTATTGAGCTGGAGAAACCTATTGACACTACCAGTACAAATGTGAGGACAGCCTGTCTACCGAAAGCTGATCAAGTCTTCGATAACGCGATTTGTACTGCAACAGGATGGGGGACTACGTATCTAGGTATTTAGCATTCCTGTTATCAGAAACAGTCTAATCAGTTCTAGAGCTTTAGGCAGTCGACTCCCATTTACAATTACATAAAAGAATTGAGGATACTGTTAAATGATTTTCGTCGGTTCCAGTTCGTTGGTTCTTACGGTTTTTAAAAACTCAGTAGTTCATGGGTACTTGATTTCGTTGATGAATATAGCTCAATACATATAATAATATTAACACATTTTTTGCACATATAAACTCTCGGGATAAAAGTATCCGCGAAATCATCGAAAATAACATGCACCAAAAAATTAAAGATTGTACAGTACATTGCAGCTGTGTTTAATTATGTATTTCTCTATCCCTATATATGATGATTCTGTATGTGATCTAGTGATTACAATCTCGCTATTTTATTATAAATAAGAAGTTCGTTTTTTTCATTAGGTGGTCAGACAACTCGATATCTTGAAGAAATTGATCTACCCGTCATTGCGCACGCGCAATGTCGATATATCATGGGAAGTGCTGTGACCAGCTCTAACATATGTGCAGGCTATTCCCGGGGACATGGAGTGTGCAAGGTAGAGTTATAAAAGTGACATCATAAGTAGAATGAAATATATAATTATGCAGAATGAAAAAAGTATCTCAGACAAATCTGGAATATTCATCCTTAACGCCATATTTAACACGTCTTCTACTTATTATGTTAAATACAATTTAGCTTCGTGCATCTAAAATTACATTGTTGAATTTTGTTGACAAAATGCATTTGCACACTTACGTTTTGTTGTCACGAAGGTGTTTGCTTTGCAGCCAATTTAACCATGTCCATTTGCGCTGATGTTCTTGGTTGGATATCGATGGATCTATAAGATTATATTAAACCATAATGCTTAACCGCCCTTTAAAGTACATGTACTTTTTCACCTGTTTCCGAAGAGTGCGATACATACATCATTACAGACCTATAACATGGTGGTATTAATGTCATACAGGATGACTCAAGAATTGATGGTTTCGTTACGTGTAGATATATTTTTGTTGTTATTAAGTATGATATCTCGTCTATATTTTGTCATAAAAAAGTGTTTTCGTTTTCACGTCAATATTTATATAAATAATACTAATATTAAACAGATATATCATAAGTGATGTTCCACATTGATTAATAAATTGTCGTCTGCTTCATCGACGACATTCGCCATATCTATCTTGGTCAGCCTATCAACCCTCATATCTTGAAAACCTGTTTTATGAGTGTGTCGTGATAAATGAAATAAGCCCATGAATACCGAATCAGCTGCGACAAATGATTACCGTAGGTTGATCTTACCATCAAGAAGTTGATGGATCATTCTCATCAACTTTCTGGTGTTGGTTTTCCTGGCCATGTACATTGCTTTCAATGTAAATCGTTTTCAATCCTACAACATGATCAAGTCGCCTCAATAGCCAATCGTATTCAACAACGCTCACTAGTTTTCGTTTAGGGACAACGATTGGTTGTTGAGCAAATTTGTTTTTTGTTTGTTTTTTTTTTTGTTAAACGTCTTCACACTTCAACCATATGAACTGTTGTTAGAATATAACGAATATGTAAGTTGGATTTTCCCTTGACTAACCTCTTACCTGATGTTTATTACCTGTTACTAAACAGTAACTGAAGTTGAAGAATAATCAATTCATTATTCAAGTAATTATCTCTTAATAGCATGATATCATAATACAGGACGATTTTTAGACCCTGATGAGTCCAAAAATTACAATGTCCAAGAAGGGATACAGGCGAACCTGCAACAGAAATATGAGAAATATTCTCCAGGTTTCTCAGCAGAAATTGATAACATACTCTTACTCGCAAAATCCAACATGCCCACCTGTCGGCTATTTCGATTCTCCAGACAGTCCTGTAATGAAAATGTATAACCATTGACCTATGGAAATAGGAAATTCGAGAAAGATCTATTAAGTACTTTTGACGAAAAGGCCATAAAGATTTCGAGATGGTCGACCGTCGTCTTTTTCTGATTTTCTTATCAGTCCCAAAATAGACTGTGCTCAAATGCCCTAGAAACCACGGGAAAGCAAAATGTGAAATTGACATTGATCTATCGTGAAGTTATCAAGAAATAGCGACAATAAACTTTAAAATTCACAATCCATGATGGCCGCCTGTCGGCCAGTTTGTTTTCCGAAAAATAAATCAAATCTGCAAAACAAGCGACCAAGGAGAACCTATATATGAAATTTGAAAAAAAGATAATTATAGTTGTTATAGGTCCGATGAACCACGAACAAAGAGCTGTTAAAGTTATTATAATGGATGATTCAGATGGTGCACTAAAAATGTAATGTTTTTAGCAAAGGTATCTATTAACTGTTCACTGTATCTCGAAAACCTTATTAGATTTCCTAGTGCCATATATTCTAATTTCGTTTTGCACGAATGTCGTATTATTTTTAGCCTAAGAAATACAGTAACGTTTTGTGGTATGAATGAAATATTTGGTAGACATTAATGTATGTTAATGCGGTTATGATTTAAGAATATCCTATTCTGTGAAGAACAGTTCAGATATATAGATTATCGTCATAATTCGGGAGATATAGAGGTTATAAAGATATAGATTCCTTAAGATCATGCCAGTACATATAGAGATGTTTAATGTTTTTCCTTTGAATATCGTATGTATTTCGCAAGTATGACAGAACATCGATGTTTTTCATTCGTTTGAGGTTCAACTTATTCAATTTTTGCTTCATGTGCTTCCGAACAATAACATGCACAAATTCCAACGTATATATAGAAAGCACCGCTTTGATTGGTCAAAGCAATGTTATATCATCACTAGATATGCTTTTTTGATGATTATTTCATGTTTATCTATGTAGTAATGACATAAGAATAAAGAAAAATGTTAAACACAATCAGGATTTCCTTGTATAACATATGTATGTTATCTAATATTTCTTGTTAACATTGACAGGGAGATTCTGGTGGACCACTCGTTTGCAAGGAAAACGACCACTGGACCCTGGCCGGTATCACCTCCTGGGGCTATGGATGCGCCGAGGCGCACACTCCTGGAGTGTACACCAGAGTTTCCTCGTTCCTGGATTGGATACATTCCACCATGAGTCTGCATTAAATAAGGAATTATGTTGTGTTATCGACAGTATTCCTATATTAATGAGGATAAATAATTTCAAATTACATAAGATTTACAGATTTTTTATGTCCCCTGATAGAAATCGGGGCATATTGTTTTTGTGCAGTCTGTTTGTCTGTTGTCAACATTAACCTTATCCATAACTATTGTACCGTAAGATTTAGGGCATTCATATTTGGCACGTGTATTAGTTGTGACACGACCTTCCAAATGATACCAACACTGGACATATGTGATTCACAAACCCACTTCAGAAGTTTGATGCAACCGGGGCCATATTATTTCATAAACACATGTTGTTTTCTCCTTTTTTCCAATTTAAGAAATTTGATGACAGTCATAAATTCACCCATAGATTTTCCTTAGAATACTTTGAACACGTTTACAGCTGCAAAGACATCTTTGCAACTGCAATGAACATGGAGCATCTTTCTTCACTTGTGTTTATTGTCATAAGGATTAAACATTTCGTTGATTTAGTATTCATAGCCAAATTCAACTGGACAGTTTATATAGGTGACAATTTGTTATACTGGCCGGAAGTTCTAAAAAACAAAAAATAATACATTTACTGGCGGAACGTTTAGGATTGTGATAGCTGTTAAAATTACATATTAGAATTTTTAAAAAGTTAATATTAATGCAACCAAACCTTTCTGTGTAATGACAGATGAATTCTCCTAACATATAACATCAAATAAGTCTTGATTCATTAAATATTCAAAGTAAGGGCACTCATATGATAATCAGATTTAAAAATACATTCGTTAAAGGTCTTTCATTGTTCTATATGTAATCTAAGAAAATTGGTTCTGGTTCACGTCCTCACAGCAGACATGCACACATTAAGACGGTGTGCACACATTTTAAGACATACTTTTTATAACAATCACTCACGAGTCCTTGAAGGACTAAACATATGTATCATGCAGATTATTCATTATTTGACTTCACTGCATCTTATTCTAAATTTGTATTAAAATGGTTCCATTATCTTGTATTATCTTTAAAAGGTAAACAAAAGAGTGCAGGTATGATGGAACTGAAGCTTGATAACTGTATAGCGCCATTCCACTGGAATGCCATAATCCGGACATGGTATCATGATATGTTACCTAACAGTTCATTCATCAAAAACCTCACATTGTAAATTGTGTAAAACGGTCGCTCAAGCAAGACAGGTTTTGGATTATCTCCCTTGATCAAGATGTGCGGCAGTTAGCTTCAGTTAAACGCTTATTCTAATGCGTCAGGCCATGATATTCCAGTAGGGTGCCACTATAAAGTTTCCCTGTATGATCCCATTGTCTGTGAACACTTTATAAGACCTTAGCTGTTGTTTGGATTGAGGCAAACTTGATAGGAATCCGTTATTTATTATTCACTTTCGTGTTTTCTGTACAGAAATGTTATTTGCAATAAAGAAAATAATAAGAAAATACAGACAACTCCCCCCTCCAAAACAAATTCTGTTGTTGACTATATGTCCGTAAATTGTGGTACTAGTGAACATTTTAGTTCATTAATAGGTCAGGTCTTGGGGTTCGATGTGATAGGGAGTGCCCTCGATATCACGATTTGACCTCAAGATAAGAACATTCCCGTTAAGACCAAAACCATCTAAACAAGTTCACTTACGCCGACACCGTACAACGATATGGATTTGTTCTGTATCACTCTCGTTTTGCTTGCTTTTACGGCATCGCCAATTTCCTCTCAGACAGGTACGTATTACTTTGCTAATTTTGATTTTCCTTGGTCGCCGTCCAGGTTTCAAAACTTTAAGCTCCTATCATCAATGACGAGTCGTAGAAGGACGACAGAGCTGCGTCATACAGTTGATTATTTTCATTATTTGATCATATGTTAACATATTTTATGCTAAAGTGTGCCATTTAATTGCATGGTTTTTTTTTGGTTTTTTTTTTTTTTTTGTTTTTTTTTTTTTTTTTTTTTTTTTTTTTTTTTTTTTTGTTTTTTTTTTTTTTTTTTTTGAATACATTTTGGAACAATTGTATTCTTAGTACAGATATTCTTTTCCGTAGCTGCCACGTTGTCACCAAGCGCCCAAATACTTAAACATATCTTTGATAAAAGCCTTAAATCTACACGCGATAAAATTGATATGAAGATATCATCATTAAGTTTTGTTCATTTCAACAATGTGGGTGCCTTTTTTAATCGGAAACCAATGGAAGTGGCCCAATGCTTCTGTTTTGGTGCGATTCTGTATGATGATGATGACCTTAGAATCAACACTGTTGCATATGTTTCTTAGTAAATATGCTGTACAACTGTGATGTTCACGTTCTGGCGTAAACGTCACGGTTACTAAAGCTCTCGTATGTTTATGTCCAACGGGGACACTGCGATGTTCCACAAACTAAACTATGTCTTTGGCTCCTTTGAAAATCTAAGTTGACTTGATGACAAATGGAGGTGCCATGTCATCACACTAATTTTTTATCGACGATCTGTTGTATAATTTATACATAATTATGATTGAATATCATTGTCCACAGTCTGCCAAAATAGCCTTCACGGAACATGCATCAACCTGTTGACCGGAACATCACCCTGTGGATCTGGGAACCATCTTGTCCTTAGTTATTGTGGTTTTCTAGAAGCCTGCTGTTATGGCAGCCACCACACCACCGCTACCGCAGCTCCAACATCTGCGCCAATTCACACCGGCGGATCAACCGGATCCGGAAGTGGTACGTACTTCGTATTGTCAAATGTAAAGTATCACGCAAATAATAGGTCGTTCAAAATATATTTCTACTTTACATTTGCTTCTATTTGAGTAAGGAAATTCTCGATGCATTACAATTTAATAGATAAACAATCTAAAAACTGGGAATATCAAAACCCTGTTAACGTTTAGAACTCATCGCCTGATAAATTAACTTTTGTTTATATCGACATACGTAAGGGAACTCCTATTCTTTTTATGCATTTTTCCATCTATCATAGAAATATATTTTCAACAAAAGATATATTAACGGTATTCAAGTTGCATTCTTTATCATAGCCGGTTTTCGATGTATTTGTAATCAAGCGTTTTGGTTGGAGTAAACTAGCGAATAATGCATGTGGCTCTCAGCAGTATTTAGTTCCATGATAGGAGGAGGTTTTTGGAAATGACATAATTTTGCTTCAATATTTTGCTACAGCATCGAAAATGTGAACGTTTGAACAACGTAAAAGCAATAGGATATATGTTGTAATAATGGTGATTTTTATCAATATATTGAACATGAGCACGTTTGAGCGTAGGAAAAGTGACAGGTTTTGCACAATATTTATTCCTTTTTTTCATTTTCATTGGTTGCGTCCTCAGGAGGCCAATGTGGCGTTCCAAGCGTATCAGGCAATCATAAGATAGTGGGAGGATCTATTGCGACCCATGGCGAATACCCGTGGCAGGTGTCGCTCCGCTACGGAGGACACCATATGTGTGGAGGTACACTTATTAATGAGCAATGGGTCGTCACCGCTGCTCACTGCTTTGAAGAGTAAGTTTTTTCTTCCATTGATGTCATTTTTTTCTCGCACGCCTACAAAATTTCAACCATATCCGATCGTACCGTTTACAAGGAGGAAATGTATGATGTCGTCTTGATTTGTTATTTCGCTCTACTGTTCCTAGCGCTCCGGAAGTTGTCGTTCACTTGTGTTCTTTAGACAAACCTTTACTGTGCCATGTCTTTTTGCATAAATCAAGGCTAATTAGATCGGATAGTATTATAAGCTTCCTGTCTGTCCCTCATTATATCCGACTTTCTATCCGCGGGTGTTCTTTTTTGTTCTTGCATAGAGACAATGATCTAAAAGCTGTTGTATGGATATATGCTATGAAGTTGGGTGTGGTTTATACTCATAAGTATGTCTGTTGTTGCCATTGTTATTTACATTTGGAAATCTTATACCATTTACCTGCATTGACTAGTGAGTGTCTTTGATGAAGCAGAACATGCTTATCCTTCCGAAACATATTCTCCTCGTTCTTTGTCATGCGTCTTTCTATAAATCTTTCCTTGGATTTGTGTTTTAAACAAGACATGTCAGGGTTTTTTCTAAGAACAGATTATTACTCAAGCTTGTGTTTCTGTTACTTCCACTCTCTTTACAGTTAATTTCGTTCTTATTCATATATGTTTTGTGATTAAGGGATGCAGATATGGTCTCGGTTTTAGGAAATATATACAGCTTCGTGGAAAAAGCACTGTCTGGACATTGTGATATTTTACTGTATATGAGGGTGTTTTGACATTGGTCTTTTTTTTATTTGTTTGATGCCATGTAATTTTGGTTATATCTTTTCTTGCCCTTATATCCATCTCCATAAGAATATATTTAATAAGGTTTGACATTAGATAGATGCGTGCTTTTTATTCTATTTTATAAGAAACACTCATGAGTATTGAGTAAAATAATTATCAATCGCCTCAAACCTCAATATGTAAAGCGTATTGATGATAATACCCAGAGGGCAAATTTGAACATATCAAAAGATATATTAGATGCTATTGTAATGATCAAGTTATGTCGAGACATTTTTGTTGAATTTAACAATATATATTTTGCGGTTGCAGTCGATGAAGCAGAATATGTTAAACTTTCAGGAACACCTGGTCTTATTATCTTTTTTTTCTTTAATTTTCCTTGTTTTATTTATATTTAGTTTCGCTTTATATTTTGTATTTTCACGTTGTTATTATTACAATGAATATACCATTTTCCTGAAACAATATATCAGAACTCATGTTGATATATCTTTTCTTGTAGCACGCAATCACATTACTGGACCGTGGCAGTAGGTATCCATGACCGTAGCCACGTATACAGGAGTCAAGTCCACAATGCAGCACGTGTTATAGTACATGAACATTATGACAAAACTCGCAACCATAACGACATCGCCATGATCAAACTAGACAAACCAGTTGACACATCATCTACCTACGTGAAGACAGCCTGTCTGCCTGATCCTAATGAAAACTTTGACAACGCTGTATGTACCGTAACAGGCTGGGGAGCAACTCATAGTGGTAAGAACGACAAAGCAAAGATAATGAATATAAGTTTAAACATGCACACTTGGGAGTCATTATTTTCCTAATGGGTGTCGACGATGCAGCAGAAAACGCTTGCTTGTGCGGAACACCTGATGTAATTATTCGTGTACTTTTTTCTGAAATTTTCCTGTAAATCTTTCATTCGTCCATTTTTTGCACCAGTTACATCGACATTAATATTTTATTGTCAAGGCAATATTTTTTCCTCGTTTTGTATATCATCTTTCTAAAAGATATCTTTACATCTTCAATAAGTCACATTTAATATCCAGGCCCATCTGAACGGCTATTTTCTAATTTATTTTAAGTATTTTAATTAAATGAGGAAATTATAACTAGTATTCTAAACAGTTTAACCTTTTTAATTTTTTTACATATTTTCTTTTCTATCATTTTTTTTTTTTTTTTTTTTTTTGTTTGTTTTGTAATTTTCATATATTTCAATATATAATATATATTAAACAAAAAAAGAAAGGTAACACTACTTTATTCTGTGATTAATTAATTAACCCCTTCATAAATCCTTACCATTCATGTACGAATAAAGTAATTGATCAATTCTGATAAAACTGCAGTCATGGTTCATTATAAAACTTTGCGTTCAGTTGATTTTATTCGACTGTAAAGGACGCTGGGGTCAATTTCAAAGGTAACACCATTAGTAACGGGTATGACCACCATTTGCGAAGTAAACAGCATTGCAGCGTCGTCGCATGGAACTCGTAAACCGGCGGATAATTCGAGGAGAGATGTTGTTCCATTCAGCGATCAAGGCTTGGGCCAGCTCCTGCAAGTTTGACGGCTGATTTTGACGTTCTCTCATGCGTCGCCCAAGAACGTCCCAGACATGCTCAATCGGTGACAAATCAGGTGATTTAGATGGCCAATCTAACACCTGTACGTTATTCTGCTACAAGAAAGTTCTGCTGACGCGACTGGTGTGCGCTGGTGCGTTATCCTGTTGAAAAATGGCGCCAACGCCATGGCGTCTTAAGAATGGCAGAACCACTGGTCTTAAAATTTCGTCCCGGTATCGAATGCCGGTTAAATTGTCATTTAGCACAACAAGCCTGGTACGAGTCCCCCCACAAATACCACCCCAAACCATTACACTTCCGCCGCCGAAGCGGTCCCGTTCTGCGACGCAGCAGTTCGCAAAACGCTCCCCTCGTCGCCTCCACACTCTGCGCCTTCCGTCACCGTGTTGCAGACAAAACCTGGACTCACCTGAAAACAGAACATTGTTCCATTGTCGTAAGGCCCAACGACGGTGAACACGGGTCCAGTTACGCCGATTATTACGGTGACGTCGCAACAAATTGGGTCCAGTGTAGGGACGCTGCGCTTTCAATTGGTAGGCCCTCAACCTGTTGCGGTCTGTTTGGGGAGACACACGACGCCCAAACAATGTCCTTGTAGTCTCTACTGCGGTTACGAATCGATTGCGCAAGTGTGTCAATCGTATACGACGGTCATCACTGGCGGTCGTTTTACGGGGTCGGGTGCTTCGGGGACAATCGGATGTTGACCCAGTTTGGTTTAAACGACTTACCCACTGGCAAATTGTCTTAACACTGCAACCAAAATGCCGTGCAACTCGACGGCGAGACTCCCCAGCCTGGATCATGCCTGCAGCCCTTTCTCTCTGTTCTTGTGACAGCCGGGGCATGATAAAGTTGATAGATAGCAATCACTAAATTATTCTATACTTGTATATTTCGGACAGTTTTGTCTTCAGCAGACCTGCATGTTATCATGTTTGGTGATATAGGAGATGAAATAACATCGAACAAGCTATTCCTTCAAAGTAAAAATCATCGTTGGAATATCAGTGTGTACACGCTTCTTTGTGTCAACAAATTCAATGATGAAGTGAAAATAAATTTGAATTATCGAACAACCTTTACACTACGTGGTTGTTTACGTCATTGCTGTCTTAAATTGTGTGGACAGGTTACCAGTGATCTGGTAGGGGAATGAAGCTGTTTAAGATTACTGTAAGAAATTATCTTCGGTGGTGAAAGTTACTAGTATGTATCTTAGTTTAATCAATAGGTTCTCATGAGCTTTAACGTGAAACTGCATTTATTATAAAATTGATACTAGTAATTGTAATGTGTCGGTTCTAGGTGGACAAGGTACCCGTTATCTGGAAGAAGTCGATGTTCCTGTCCTTACGAACAGTATGTGTCACTATTACATGGGTAATAATGTATACTCGTCTAATTTATGTGCTGGATACAGTCAAGGAGGAAAGGATGCTTGCCAGGTATGTATTCTTAACGTGATCAAATGACATTTCCTTATACATTTGTAATGCACAGAAAAATCGGAGGGAGACTTATCACAAATGACGTACATGATTTTAAGATACGTCGAAAAAGACCAAATCAAAATATTTTCTTTGGCTTGAGAGGAAAGTTAGCTGGATGATTAAATTGGCTCGATAGATTATTTTCATTTCTCGTCGAAAATGAAGCCTGTGCTGGAGACGTGGAGAATTGATTTGATGTATCTCTGTATATCGTAAGTTGAGACTGATTAGGGAGGGGACACCAACTGCAGGTCGGCGTAGTGTCTCCGGTGTCGTCTTTCTAGTGGAGGTCGGATAGCTGGAGAATAAGGTCTGGTGTATTTTTCATCTAAAAGTGGGTCCCCCATGGAATTAGTGGTTTCTTGTGGTCTCTTTTAACGACAGGACGTTGAAAATACCAAAACAGAATGTTAACCCTGTTGCAATATTGCTACCTTGACCTTTTCTTTCCTCTTTGTGGCTCCCTCTAGACATGATAGATAGATAGATAATGATACATGGTTTCTCTAAGATTTGTTGGTGAAAGGCGAGCAAGAAAATGAAATGTGTATCAATATTTTGAGTATTTAGAGTATCGGAAGAAACGTGAGATAATGCATGTAAAGGGACATTGTGTATTGATATTGAGTCATAAGGGACGATAACCCTTGTATCTGCAATGCATATGTTAAAAGTTTAATGACCTGACTACTAATTTTTACGGGTCAAAATTTTCGCGAATTTCTTTGAAAATGATCGAATAATACGTAAACGAATTCAAATTTCGAGATGATGATGTAAAAGGGCACATAATATTTCATATATGATTTTTTGCGATCACCTTAATGTACCGCGAAAATAATCATTGCCGCGAAGATGACCGGCTATCCCCCTTGTTTACCGAATCAGTATGATGAAGATAATATGTTGGAATAACGAAGGTCGTTTGAGCATATGGTTGTGTTACTTGCATCAATTGTTTTATTGCCTAATGATGTATGTGTTCCCTGAACAAGTAGTCCTTTGTACAAATCTGTGTAATCGCTGCCTTTTAGGGAGATTCTGGTGGTCCTTTAACCTGTAAAAGGAACGGTCGCTGGAAACTGGCTGGTATTACATCATGGGGTTACGGATGTGGACAGAGGAACGCCCCCGGAGTCTACACTCGGGTATCATCCTTCCTGTCCTGGATTCAAACTACCCAGAGGAACAACTAAGTTATGTAGTATCGATTCAAATAACTCACTCAATACAGACTTATAGCAAAATAAAAACAAAAGTTGGTGTCGTATAATTGGTGTTATGTTATTATTGTTATTAATCACATTTTTTATCTCTATGATCTTTCGTTATAAACCTGAAAACTCGAAAAGAAGACGCGGCTGATTTTCTTCAATCAAATGCACTCTAAAGGGTAGACTTTCATTATCTCTGTAGCTGTGTTTAAAATATATAGAGAAGCTTTAATAATGGATTTTATAATCAATTTTTCATGTTTTCCGTTTATATTTCTGTTTGGTTTTCATGAATCATCACGTGTCTATATTGATAATTTTCACACTTTTAGATGTGTTACCTCTTTATAGAGACAAAGCAATGTAATTGTTTTATATTTATCAGTATTTCACAAAAAAAATCCATAGTCATTTATTCCATAAACACTCTGTAATAATCCACAATGTAAGAGGAAAGCTTACGTCATGACTTCACACTCCGTGTTTACGCTGACATTACATTTCCCCTCATTTAACTACACCTTGTATGGTGAGTGACAATGAATATATACCTGCTTACACATGCTTGACCATAAGTAAGGGACCATCAATCAAAGTATTGAAATCTTAATCAAACCTGATTTTTCCTTTAGTAAAAATAAACATTGTCGTATTCCTTGCAGTGTCTCGTTTTTGTGTTTCGTGCTGTTTGTCGACAAAAAACGATAACCCGGATTAAACATGGATACCTCGTGTTAAAGGTTACGAACAAACAAAATTAAGTCCAATGTAATATATGGATAGTCCCTAATCCATGATCAAGTGTATTGATAAGATTATAATTAATAATTATATGATAACATTTCTATGTGTTGACAAGCAATATTTGAATACAAACAGTATAATCAAAACGTCTGTTATTGTCCCTTAATATCTGTTTGGATGTCCTATCTAATCAGCACTGCAAACATTCATTGCCTGATAACCAGCTATGATTCTCTTTACACATTCACTGTTCCCTATTGATATTTTCAGAGAGTTTTAACAATAGAAAAAGTTTGAGATGAAAGGGTTTCTTTTCAGAGTTTCTTTCTCAGATATTCAATAAACCTAGAAAAGGGGACTAGTATTTTTTTAATTCATGATAATATAAGATATATGAAACTGATCTTAAAAATCAACATTTTTTTGTTTTTGTTTACATTATTTATTTATTTTTCTCTGTTTATTTATTTGCAACCGTTTAAGGCGGAATATCTTTGTAGTAGTAGATGATGGCTACCTGTCATGACACTATACGCGAGGTCCGTCGCTTACCAGTCAGAAGAATTAGACTGAAGTGTCTTGCCCACAAGCAAGATACAAACTGGGCCGTTTTTCAGCTTCCTGATAAAAACGAACTGTGTCGAATGAAAAGCCGTGAACTACATGCCTCAGATTTTCACCTGGGATTGGCTAACGTCTTACCCACTGATCTACCGAGGTTTTAAATTGTAATAGACTGCTAAAGAACATACTAGGTGATGTTCTTAACGAATATCACTCTTACCAACGTTACAATATAACGTCATGAAATGATGACGTAAAAATCAATTTCAAGTACCAGGCACATATCTAGGGCCGTTATAATTCACCCAGTCATGACGTTGTAGGTCATCAGTGACCGAACAGGAACATCACTGAACATACGAAAGCCAATCACACTCCATCGATAGAAATAGAAGTAAGGTGTTTTGTCTAAGAACACAACAACGACAGCACAGTCAGGTATATTTCTTAGCTTCCTGAGAAACACAAACCGTCACAGGTAGCGATCGTGGAAAAAGCACCTCGGATCTACACTAGAGGTAACGGCTCAAACTATTCTTAAACAAGTTTGAGAGAATGTGTTGTAGTTATCTCGTTATACCTAATTAACCCTTACGAATTGTTACGTTATAGAAAATCACCACGTTCTCCCAATCCACCTTGAAAAGTTCAAATTGAACGTTTTGATAATGTATGACTTCTAAGGAGTCCTGGAGACCTTCGAGGAACATCCATGAATAACTCGATGTTTGCATTACGTTCCCCAATGGGTACCTTTGTTCAGAAGACACACAAGTGTATACCACGAAATTAGAGTTAGATAGAGACGATCCAAACTGTTTACTGCATACAGCTGTTTCGTCCATCGTCAGTAATACTACATCATATAGCTGGTTCGTCCTTCTAGGACTCGTCAGTGATACTTCTTCGTACAGATTTTTCGTCCTTTTAGGACTCGTCAGTGATACATCATACAGGTGTTTTGCAGCCAGTATGCTTCTAAGGTAAATCCAAAGTAATCCAAACAACTGTCAAAATGTGACAAATATCGTTGATAGTCGTTGAGCCATCACACAATATAAAAGATAAAAAAAACACATATTGCATATTTTACGTCCTTTTATTGTGGTAAACGAATGTATGTATCACAGTAATTGTTTAATGAGAGCTTTTCACACTATCTATCCAGGACAGGAAAGAGGATACTCGTGTGTACACGCCAGGAGTTCTGGCGTCGCCACATCCGTATCCCCAAGACACAACACCTGCTAGCTTGTATGCGCCGTTATGTTTACAAACCAGAGGACCACCGGAGTCACCCTAAAAATAGAAATGTTATAAACCACTGTGCATAGCAACCAACCAGCTAGAGTTCAATTAGAGAAACTACATTATATACATAATTATACTTAATACATATTGTCACGGTGCCTTTTTGATGAAAATATAAGGTCACGTACACCTATTCCTAAACATAAACAACCGTTAATTGAAATATTGTATCTTCATTTTAGTATTTCTATCTTCCTTTTTTAGTATTTTTCTTCATTTTCAGTATTTTTTTTATCTTCCTTTTTATTTTTAGTATAGTTTTTCTTCATTTTTAGTATAGTTTTTCTTCATTTTCAGTATTTTTTTTTATCTTCCTTTTTTAGTATTTTTATCTCCCTTTTTATTATTTTTTATCTTTCGTTTTTTTTAGTATTTCTAATTTTCCTATTTTCGTATTTTCTATTTTCCCATTTAAGTATTTTTATCTTCCTTTTCTTATATTTCGTTTTATCATGCTTTTTATATTTTTTTTATCTTTCTTTTTTAGTATTTTTATCTTCCGTTAATTGTATTTTTATCTTTCCTGTTTTAGTTTTTTCCTTTTAGTATTTTTTTTATCTTTCAGTTTTAGTATTTATTTTCTTTCGTTTAATATTTCGTATGTATTTTCATCTTCCTTTTTAGTATCTTTAATCTTCCTTTTTTCGTATTTTATCTTCATTTTTTAGTATTTTTTTTTTCTCCCCTTTTATGTTTTTTTAAACTTTCTTTTTTAGTAATTGTCCTTTTCCTATTTTCGAATTTTTTATCTTCCTTTTTTAGTATTTTATTTATTAGTAGTTTTAATCTTCCTATTTTCATATATTTTATCTTCTTTTTTATTTAAAAATACACAGATTACGTCATTAATTAACATCAAATCTTTGTGATGCAATAGTAATTATATATGTTTGTTGACTATGGTGGTGACAATTTATCAGTACCCTGGTTACATTAATGGAATTTCAACACTGTATTCTCTAAGCTATTCTTTAAAACTACAGACGGGCTTGAATGGCGTTTGCAATCCAAGTGTACACTGTGTTATTTCTTCAGGATAAATTTTAAATTCGTTCTAGTATGTAGCGTATCCAAAAACTGCTTTTCTAAGTACATATGTTTTATACAATGGTAATGACAAACTTGGCTGAAAAATAACTATTTCTAAGGCAAATATTGAAAATTCAAAGAAACAATTCGTTCAATGTCCAGTAAAAAGACTGGATTTTAGAGGAATTTGGCGTCTAAGAGGACTCGACTAATCAGTCAAATCGATTCGACAAAGAACAATGAGACGATTGGTTAAATTAATTACTCTATCAAAGCTATTTCTTTCACCAAACATTTGAATGTCTTACCTGACAAGCGTCTTTTCCACCTTGATTAAGACCTGCGCAGATGTTACCATCGTAGATGGAGTTTCTACCTAAGAAATATTCACACTGGCTGTTTGTTATGATAGGGATGTCTGCCTTCTCAAGGTAGCGGGTCAACGGCGCTCTGCCGTGTTCATCTAAAACAGCAACAGAAGAATAACGTCATGGTAGAAAAAGCATGATGCAAATTAAAAAAGCAGAAACGAAGACAAAATGAAAGTAAAATAAATAAGCTGCAGACTATCAAACAAAATTTCGTAAGTCATGTCATTATTTTTCGTTGGCATTTAGTTTCGTGCTCTAAATTCACAAACTGATATGTCCACGAAATGATAAATACAAAAGCTGACATGATTTATAATCGTTTTTACAAGATTCATCCACGAATAAAAGCCTCAACGAAAATGAATCTTTTTGTAAAACCACGAAATGAAAGCCTCACGAACATATACGATATTGTAGGAGGTGTCGGCAATGTCATGTTGTCACTCTCTAAAATGGATGTGTTTCTCCTATTCACTCGGTTTAGCCCTAAGATAAAGAGGTAGCCTAGGGATTTTAACCAAATGCTTACCATGTGATCTAGAAACCTTTATCCTTAACCAGATCGAAGGTAAAACAATCCTCCTGACCGTTGGACAATAGACAAGTAATCTCACGACACAGGGTTGAGAAGGATGCAGGTTGATAAATATTAAAGTGAAGTTGAACGGTATTGGATACTCGTTAGCTTACCTGGTGGTTCCGTTGGCTACATTGTTCTCACTTTGGACGTGCGTTACTTACTTGGATTGATAAAGATTTACATGGCGGGTATCACAGATGAAGCAGAAGTCGCTTACTCTTTCAGAACACCTCGTCTTATTATCCATGTGCTTTAAGTGCGTTTACGTGTAAATATTTCATATTATGCCTTTGTTTCATCGAATGTTTGAATACTAACAATTAAATTTTCCTTTCATTTCTTTCTTTTTTCTTTAAAAAATCAAACTTTGACATTTGATACATATGTGTTGATTTCATTTTTATTTTCTTTTTTTAATTTTTAACTTTGTGACTGACATTTCTCCATGGTGTTCATTCGTATTCATAGTTGCTGTTGTTGACGCTATAATGACTTTGGGTATTGATAAAGTTGCAAAGTACTAAAACCACAAATAAATAGTAGCATAAATATCAACATGATCATAATCTAAATTCAATAAAACTGGGGCAAACGGAAAATTTACATCGAGACTGCTGAAAAAGTGCAAGGAGAATAATGCCATGTGTTCAAGGAGAGTAAGCGTCCTCTGCTTCATCTACGACACTTGCCATGTACATCCTGACATATCTAATAAGGTAACGTTAGTCTCCTAAGTGAGAACAATATACACAAGAATAAAACCAACACGAAACACGTTCAGCTTCATGTCGCACTAAGACTAGTGAGTCACAAAACATGATATATAAGAATGATTTTTGTTCTATTCACAAAAAATAGTAAACCAACAAACCAAAATAGGTGGCGCCCCAACCGGTGACAATGCACGTGTCTGTGTCGAAACCCTCGTTGTTGTTTGGTAAACATGCCGCTCTAACGTATCTGCCAGAAAGCGTGACGGGGGAAGATAGCTTCATCATAGCTATATCGTTATGATTATTGTGGGAGTTGTAGCCATGATGAACAACAACTGATGACACGTGGTGTATATCGGAGGAGTGAACGTGATGCTGATCATGCACGCCGACTGCAACGGTCCAACCGCGGTGGTTTGTGCTAGAAGAATATTCATATATCATGTATAGTTAACTCAATTTATTATCTGAAATTAATTTCAGTACTAAAATTATTTTAAATCTCCTATCTCATGACTGCGTCCATGAGGCAGTTTTATATAAAGCTGACAATTTGGAAATCAAATACCTTTAAATAGAATCATAATCTAAAGTCAAATTCAATAAAACTAGGACAAAGTAGGACGAAAATTAACATCGAGTATCTTGGAAAAAATACAAGGAAAATTAGACCAGGTGTTCCGAAAGAAAATAAATATGACACATAAAGTGTATATCTTAATTCATACCGGAAAATAGCAGCACATCAATCGCCTTTAATACAATAAACTTGGTTGAATATTTTCGCGACTCGTAGTAAACATGTTAATAGTATTCACATATACTGGGGGTTGAGACATGGTTCTCCTCACAAACACATCTTCAGGATTTTTAAATGAGTTATTTATTTTATGAAACTGGTATATAGAATTTTTTGTCTTTGCCGATCTTGGCCAACAGAAAATCAATATAGTTGAACTTCATAAACTCTCTTAATGAACAATAAAATTTTGTCCACGAGCCAATTGAAACTTTACTGGATACCATTAACAGCACCTCGATTCCTGCAATTCGTCAGAAAGTACAAAAGGTCCCTAATGCCTGTGTGTACGACAAGGTTCTGTTCACTATTCCGTTATAAAAAACGTTCAAGTGGCAACATTGTTCTGAAAAAGGATCTTACAATTTACATTTTGACAGGTATCAAAGTCAAAACGTTGAGAACCATATTTAATAAAGGCAGATATTTTGCTTCACCATTTTCATGTCATGACGGAATTGTCAATGTTATAATATCAAAATCTGATTGGAACAGCCAATGAAAAACGCATCATGATACAGGTCACTACTATAGGCGAATTTAGTGTACAACAAGAGAATTGTAGCATAAAAGAATGAAATCAAAAATCTTTAAGATATGTTGCATATCTCAAGGATTAAATTATTTATACCGCCATAGCTGTTATATGGACGTTAAGCAATATATAGACCAAACCATTGGACAATGTCTCCGTTTTGCCTATGCTGCAGTGTATGTCATATTGACTTACTCTTCGAAACAATGGGCAGCAGTAAGAACCCATTGAGAGTCGATCAGAGTTCCTCCACACAGGTGCTGGTTGGCGTATCGCAGGGATACCTGGATAATTAAAAAAAATTAATTGAAAATCAAAATCCATGAAACGAGAGCAAAATGTGGACTAACGGAATATTTACATGTTCAATACAGAATATACTAGACGACCAGATGTTAAGGAGTGGAAGGTATCATTTTCTACACAATTACAAACATAAACATCGAAGTGTTTGTTACTAAACCAAGAGCAGTCGGATGGCGCAGTGGTAACGACCTAGTCTTTCAGCCAGGTGTCCTAGGTTCTTGCACATGTCATATACATATTAAACTGGTAATACTGTAGTATAGTGATAATGTTTCGTCTTATTGAAATTCATATCGTATAATGCTGTTTTAACGTATCATATGGCTTTAACTGATCTGTGTATTATTTGTGTAATCATTCATGTATATATATTATATATTCATATTTCAGGTTCACGTGATCTACATGTACGTGCATCCAGCTGTGAATTTTCGGTAATTTTCGTGGATATTTATTTTCGTTGATTTAGGAGTTACTATTTAATCGACGAATCTATATTTCCACGTATCAGTTTAAAGTTATTTATGTTAATTCCGTGTGTAGCTTTTTTCCACAAAATAAAAAACGCGAAAAATTGAAGCTTAGATAAATTATTTTGATCTATAGTGTAAAACAGAAACCTCTATAAAGTGGCCAGATCACTCTGTCCCTGTGTCATCCGGTCATATTTTACCTATTGTAATTACAATAAATCTGAAAATCCGGAATTGTACACATTGTTATCGTTTAGGCCCAGGCTATCCCCATTCAATATCACTCATTATTTTCTTAGATGCAACGGGTTAATTCAATGTCATATTTTTGAGGCCCCGAGAAGCAAGTGAAAAAACTAAGACATATTAAAGCGTGCGATGATCACACATGTTAACCTTTGACCCACTGATGTAGGCCTACCTGGGTCACGAGACGTAACACAAATCAAAACTCGGACATGGCACTATCACAAATGTCAAACAAGAACTGATAAGAATGAAAACTTGACCTCTTAAATGTACGCTCAATAAAATGTGTTTCTGTTCTCATTCACCTGCCATGGGAATTCCCCGTGTTGGGCACGGGTTCCTCCGACAATTTTGGTAGTATGTGTAGAGCCGACGAGACTGGTTCCACAGTGGGCTGCAATATATTACGTTGGATAATTCAGACAAGGCAATGTTGCCAAAATCATTTCTCCAAAATCATTCGCTTACATCTGGGATATGAATAAAATGCATGTTTGTTTATAACGTAGAGACACCACCAGCCATTTTCATAATGGGAACTGTTTCTACTGGAGACACTAACAGTCATGGTCATATGGAGACTTGTGTCCAGGGGAGACACAATCAGCCAGGGTCATATGGAGACTTGTGTCCAGGGGAGACACTAATAGTCATGGTCATATGGAGACTTGTGTCCAGGGGAGACACCATCTGCCAGGGTCATATGGAGACTTGTGTTCAGGGGAGACACCATCTGCCAGGGGCATATGGAGACTTGTGTCCAGGGGAGACACTAATAGTCATGGTCATAGGGGGACTGATGTCTATGCGATACACCAACATCAAGAGTCATATAGGAGCGGGTGATCAGGAAAGACATGAACAGCCAAGGTCATATGGGGACCGGTACCTAGGGGAGACACTAATAGTCAGGGTCATAGGGGGACCGAAATCTAGGGGAGACACAAACAGTCAGGGTCATAGGGGGACCGGTACCTAGGGGAGACACAAACAGTCAGGGTCATATGGGGACCGGTACCTAGGGGAGACACAAACAGTCAGGGTCATAGGGGGACCGAAATCTAGGGGAGACACAAACAGTCAGGGTCATAGGGGGACCGGTACCTAGGGGAGACACAAACAGTCAGGGTCATATGGGGGACCGATATCTAGGGGAGACACAAACAGTCAGGGTCATAGGGGGACCGAAATCTAGGGGAGACACAAACAGTCAGGGTCATAGGGGGACCGGTACCTAGGGGAGACACAAACAGTCAGGGTCATATGGGGACCGGTACCTAGGGGAGACACAAACAGTCAGGGTCATAGGGGGACCGAAATCTAGGGGAGACACAAACAGTCAGGGTCATAGGGGGACCGGTACCTAGGGGAGACACAAACAGTCAGGGTCATATGGGGGACCGATATCTAGGGGAGACACAAACAGTCAGGGTCATATGGGGACCGATACCTAGGGGAGATACAAACAGTCAGGATAATATGGGGACCGGTACCTAGGGGAGACACAAACAGTCAGGGTCATAGGGGGACCGGTATCTAGGGGAGACACCAACAGCCAGGGTCATATGGGTACCGGTATCTAGGGGAAATACCAACAGCCATTCATATAGGAACGGGTGTTCAGGAAGGACATCAACAGCAAGCAGAGAAAAATATCAGGAAACAGTGCAGCAAGAAAGGTATGTAATTGGCACTAATTTTCAGTTCGTCAGTGTCTTCTTTCATAAAGACGAAGGAGAGATATACCGGAAAAAAAATGGGATAATAGAGTACTAGTATATAGTTATGAGTTTATTATTATTATTATCATTATTATGACAATCTTAAGGGCCCGTCAACACATAAAAGGTCATTAGGGCCATCAACCGGTAAAACACAAACCGATCCAAAAGGAAATGACATCAAACAAACTAAAAGGTAAAAGACAAATCATTAAAATCTAGAACGGGTATATTATCACAAAATATTACAGCGGTACGTCAGAGTCTATTATATAGACCAACACATTTCAGATAACCTATAATTTTAACTCCACAGTTTCAAAAAGGGTCTTTAGACTTGTTACGTGACGAAAAAATTCTGGAGTGGACAGAAGGTCAATGCAGTCCAATAAAAATGTTTAACGGTGAATGGCTCATCACATCCTATGCACCGCGGATTATCTTCGCCTTTCAATATGTGACTGCAAAAAGTTTGTATGGCCCATCCGAAGACGAGCAAGGACAACCTCGCCTCGGTGGTTGTCTCTATAGCCTGAAGACCATTCACCGATGATAGGTTTTATGGAGTGCAATTCATTAGTGGTATATTGATTCCATTCCTCCTGCCACTGAGCTGTTAAAAATTGTTTGATACATGGTTTAAAATCAGTAAAATGAAGTTTGAAAACCACTGGTGGTAGCAATAAAGCTTACTTTACGGCGCGATCTGCTTTCTCGTTGCCTGGTATTCCCATGTGCCCATGAACCCAGCAAAAAGCAATACAAAAGTTAAAGGCAAGATCATGATATAGTATTAAGGTATTACGAATGAAAATACTTTCGATATTTCTACTGCTAAGACTTTGTAGAACAGAAAGAGAGCCTGAATGGACAACAGCTCTCATTACTTTGTTTCTTTGAATGTATTGAAGGGCGAGGTAGATATCTCGCGCTTCTGCCGAGAATATTGAGGCGTTGTTCGGTAGCCGGCATCCATACTCTTCATCTTGTGTAACCATGGTCGCGTCAAACTTATCATTATCTTTTGAACCATCAGTATATAAATGTAGAATTTTTTTATAGTTTAACTGCAATTTCGAGAAGGATGAACGAAATGTGCAACTGTCAGTATCGGATTTAACCATTTCATAAAGTGAAAAGACAACTTCAGGTAAATTCAAGAGGCAAGGTGGCATTTCTTTCGTTCCAAATGAGTGCATTAGGTTTATATCAATATTTGTGTTTTGTAAAAGAGCGGAAATGGTCTTTGGTTTGCTTTGAAACAAGGTTTTATATCTTGGATCACATACAAGTGAAAACGCAGGATGTGAAGGATGTGACTTTAGCTGAATGGTGTATTGCAAAGCCAATTAATTTCGACGGCTATATAGTGATGGTTCCATAGAGGCGCGCTGTAGGTGTGGTCTTAAAAGCTCCAAGAGCGAGTTTAGAGCCTGGTGATGAACTGTATCTAACAATTTGAGATATAAAAGTCAAGCAGAACCATACACAATAGAACCGTAGTCTAATTTTGATATAATAAGAGCTTTATAAAGTCTTAGCAAAACGTTTCTCTCAGTTCCCCAACCAGTGTGGCACACCACCTTCAGAACTTTCAGTGCCTTAAGACATTTGGCTTTAAGGTATTTTTATACAGTGGTGATTAATTTCAAAAGTATGAACATTCAGAAACAAATAGGGAATTCAGAATGAAATAAAATTATAACATTACATATTCTTATGTAAAATACTTTTGTTGATCTTACTTTCTTTGGTGTGTTTCTACTGTTCAATATCAATGTCCGGGTGCATGGCTAAAGACAACGGAGGTTTCATCAAAATACAACACTTACCAACATTTCCGGAATTTCCGCCAGAACCACTACTGCTGCTACTAGAGGTGGAGTGAGATGAGGTGCAACACATTTCTAGAAACCCACAGTAATTCAGTGTGTAAGACTCGCCCACGGTACAACCCTGGTAGAGGCTTTCACAATGACCACCGTAGGTGTTCACGCATACTGAAATAGATAAGATTTTTGGCTAAGAAGCGTTTCTGTCCGTAAACGATGTTTGGCTCATCGGAAAGTTATTTAAAATTTTATGAAAAAAAGACACATGTGAATGACAATTTAATACTACTTTAGAAGTAGATACACTAGAGCCAAACAATCAACTAAACTACGTCAAACAACTGTTTCGTCCTTTTAGGTCCTATCACAGATGCTACGGACCCGAATTTTGAAACAAATGAAGCGACGTCGGAAGATCGAAAGAACCTGAAGGTGCATAATCCCATAATTACATACATTTCACATTGCTTATGTATCTGATAATGTTAATAAACTATCCTAGCATTTACATAACTGCCATACCTATAAAACACATGGTCAAGTTTACAATGAGCAAATTCTCTTTTTTGTTATGTTTGAGATGACGTTTTAGACGTCAGAAATGCCAGGAATTGTTGATCTTACTTCAAACAGACCTATGGACATTTTACTGTACAGGTTATATACAGTGCTCATTAACGTGTTATAGTAATTTATATATATATATATCTGATACTGGTGGCAATTTGTGGCGGGGTTACATTATCATTAATTAGGAACGTATCTGATACTGGTGGCAATTTGTGGCGGGGTTACATTATCATTAAATAGGAACGTATCTGATACTGGTGGCAATTTGTGGCTGAGTTACATTATCATTAATTAGGAACGTATCTGATACTGGTGGCAATTTGTGGCTGAGTTACATTATCATTAATTAGGAACGTATCTGATACTGGTGGCAATTTGTGGCGGGGTTACATTATCATTAATTAGGAACGTATCTGATACTGGTGGCAATTTGTGGCGGGGTTACATTATCATTAATTAGGAACGTATCTGATACTGGTGGCAATTTGTGGCTGAGTTACATTATCATTAATTAGGAACGTATCTGATACTGGTGGCAATTTGTGGCTGAGTTACATTATCATTAATTAGGAACGTATCTGATACTGGTGGCAATTTGTGGCTGAGTTACATTATCATTAATTAGGAACGTATCTGATACTGGTGGCAATTTGTGGCTGAGTTACATTATCATTAATTAGGAACGTATCTGATACTGGTGGCAATTTGTGGCTGAGTTACATTATCATTAATTAGGAACGTATCTGATACTGGTGGCAATTTGTGGCTGAGTTACATTATCATTAATTAGGAACGTATCTGATACTGGTGGCAATTTGTGGCTGAGTTACATTATCCTTTATATGTACTTCCAAGTAACCTACAAAATCAACAACATGATGAAAATACCAAAACTGTTTGATTTCTATAAAAACAGGAAGTCGTACATTATATGTGCCGTATGGCATCGATCAGTTCTACCGTCACAAGTTATTGGGTGCAGAAGACTGTAATTCTATACGGTTATACATGCGTCTGTCTGTCTGTCTGTCTGTCTGTCAGGCTGTCCATCTGTCTTTCTGTCTGTCTGTCTGTCCGTCTGTCTAGCTGTCTGGGTGTCTGTTTGTCTGTCCGTCTGTATTTCTGTTTTTCAGTCCGTCTGTCTGTCTGAGTGTCTGTCCATCTGTCTGTCTGTCTGTCTGTCAAAACACGAGTGCTTTCATTATGAATATTTCGATTGCCGAGGCTGAAGCCTATGAAATAAATCGTGACCACAAGAATAATTCCAGACTGACAATGAGAATTTGGACCAATGTGTCGTTTTAGTTTATCCGTTATGTTAACGAAAAATGGTGATAGACATATTTATATATCAAAGGACATTTCAAAAATTGCTGAAACAGCATAGTTCAAAATTAAATAGTTCATCAACAAATGAATGCTTATTGTTGACAGTTTATTAAGGAATAATGCATGTCTATATCACAAAATTAATGTTTTGCGTGAAAAGAGTTTCTTGAAAACATGATAATGGAAACAAACATGAATTAATATATACATACATATTGAGAATATCCCGTATTAATTAAATCTTTATTTCTAATTGCAAATATACATCTTACATCAATGTAATCACTTCCATCGGTAAGTATTTGAATATTTTAAAATACTGACCTGAAGCATAGGCATTGCAAACAAGAGAAAATAGAAAGATCGACGAAAACAGGGGACCTGACATCTTGGCGATACGACACAGAGTGGCACGGCTCCTTGTCGTAACTGCTGATTGTCTACGAGGCTTGCCTGGGAAATAGCATATGCATGCATGATGTCATAACTATGCATATATCACGTGACATTTTTGGCCCTTCTTTAATGTTTTGGCCGGATTTCCTTGTTGAGACTGATTGCGTCATAGCAGACAGTCTTCAGAAATCCAGGGTGAATTTCATTTTATCGTTCGTTTGACACAGTGTCTGTGATGACTTATCGCCATCCCTCGACCGTCGTGTACTGTCCGCTGTAAACGTTTCATACCTTTCTTATCTAGATCCAAAAACATCGGTAGCTCAACATTGTTGCAGTTTGAAACGTGATTTCTATTGATGTAAAAAGGTACTCAATATTCTTACCTGAACAATGGGCCTCTGTTTATAGATTCAGAATATGGCTCATATTTCATTCTCGTGATGTAATTAATGAGTAATGCTTTACATGAATAATTCTGAGAAAATTATGAAAAAATGGTGTTATTTTATGGTCGATTTGAAACCCAAAACTTCTCACGTTCAACCGGTAAAATTGTGACAAGATTTTGCATTCAACTAAGTTTTTTTATGTCATCTTTGTCACATTTTGGTTTTGATTGGAAACAAATCCAACAATATTCTTTTGAAATGAGATTTTCTATCGTGTATAAATAATTCCCACTACATCTAAATACTGAAGTGTTAGTTTTGATGAAGAGTTAGTAGTTTTAACAGGTGTAGCCTATATTGTTTCATTGTTTGTTGAAATAAGCGCAAAAAATAACTCCGGTTTATCTTGAGTCAAAAGTCAAAATTACAATATTAGATGTGTCAAATTACAACGTCTTCTTTCTCTCTCTCTCTCTCTCTCTCTCTCTCTCTCTCTCTCTCTCTCTCTCTCTCTCTCTCTCTCTCTCTCTCTCTCTCTCTCTCTCTCTCTCTCTCTCTCTCTCTCTCTCTCTCTCTCTCTCTCTATGTGTGTGTTTTTTTTTTGTTTTTGTTTTTGGTTTTTTTTTTGGGGGGGGGGGGGGGGGGATGTTTGTCTTAAGAGCTTGTTATACGGAAACTTGATTTACCTCCCTTTATCCGTTTTCGAAAGCAATAAAAAATGTTTAGGTCTCTGGAGTCGTTTTCCGTAGTCTTACAAAATGTTAGAAATGCCGTTTGAATCAGTTTGCAAATTTGTTTTGAAAATGTGTCGTTTTAAAAATATCAGAGGAAAAAACATAACAAACAAAACTCGGTATGCGGTGACACAAAGATCAAAAGCAGGGCGTACAAGTTTGTACCCTCATTTAGATTCTCATCCGTCAAAAATATCAATAAATGTTAAGTTAATTCATTTATTTCATTTTAAAGAGTTTACGTGATATTTTCCACCTTTCTGTCTTTTCTCACGATTAGCTTCTAAAAATAGTTCATTACCATGAGCACGTGGTTGTGTTTACAACAGTTTGTCACATGGTACATAAAGGTCACGCCCCCTTACACATACAACTTCCGGTAAGATGGCCGAAAAGGAATATGCTTTTTTGCAGCAGTAGATACGTCAACATTATGAAATAGGAGGTGCTGATTCTACAAGATAAATGATGATATCAAAACAGTGATTTCCACGAATTCGTGATAAAATGAACGTAAGTTGTGTCGGCATGGTTTCTGAATATGTTACTAAACATTCCATATTTCTCAAAACAAATCCTGTTCTGTTTATTTTTTCCTCTATTAGTTGCCAAAGTCAAGATATTTTGTCAAATCTGGAGCATAAAAACCTCTAGAATATAAAATATTACTGTAACTCATTCTTCTTAAATGCTGTGTTATCAGGAAAACCTGTGTATAACTATATAATGCATAATGTTTGCCGGTATTGCGTTGCCATACACCTGTCTATTTCGAGTATTTAATTTCAACGAATTACTTTATCCGGTCACAGGGGCATACCTTGTAGTCTGATCTATTCTGACGTTCTGTCGACTTTCTGTACTGGTCTGGAGCTGGTTAAACGACATGAAAAGTCGACAGAACGTCAATAATTTGGACTTGTCTAGATGAGTTAATTATCTTTTGACTGATCGGGTGGGAGAGTGGTCAGAATACACCTTTATATTTAGATACACTCCTGTGTGAAAATAAAAAAAAAATACATAGTAACAATTAAACTTGAATATTCATGCTTAATCGTAGTCAGTATATAGATAATTGAACTGATTATATAACTGAAGTGCAAATTAGGTTAATACCTGGCCTCTTGCTACCAGCCCTCCCAACCACACCCCACCTTTCCCTTACTACCAGCCCTCCCAACCACACCCCACTTTTCCCTTGTTACAAGCCCTCCCAACCACACCCCACCTTTTCCTTGCTACCAGCCGTCCCAACCACACCCTACCTTTCCCTTACTACAAGCCATCCCAACCACACCCTACCTTTCCCTTACTACCAGCCCTCCCAACCACACCCCACCTTTCCCTTACTACCAGCCCTCCCAACCACACCCCACCTTTTCCTTGCTACGAGCCCTCCCAACCACACCCTACCTTTTCCTTCCTACCAGCCCTCCCAACCACACCCCACCTTTCCCTTACTACCAGCCCTACCAACCACACCCTACCTTTTTCTTACTACCAGCCTTCCCAACCACACCCCACCTTTCCCTTGTTACCAGCCCTCCCAACCACACCCTACCTTTCCCTTACTACCAGCCCTCCCAACCACACCCTACCTTTCCCTTACTACCAGCCATCCCAACCACACCCTACCTTTTCCTTCCTACCAGCCCTCCCAACCACACCCTACCTTTCCCTTACTACCAGCCCTCCCAACCACACCCTACCTTTTTCTTACTACCAGCCTTCCCAACCACACCCCACCTTTCCCTTGTTACCAGCCCTCCCAACCACACCCTACCTTTCCCTTACTACCAGCCCTCCCAACTACACCCTACCTTTTCCTTCCTACCAGCCCTTCCAATCACACCCCACCTTTCCCTTACTACCAGCCCTCCCAATCACACCCCACTTTTCCCTTACTACCAGCCCTCCCAACCACACCCTACCTTTCCCTTACTACCAGCCCTCCCAACCACACCCTACCTTTCCCTTGTTACCAGCCCTCCCAACTACACCCCACCTTACCCTTGTTACCAGCCCTCCCAGCCACACCCCACCTTTCCCTTGTTACCAGCCTTCCCAACCACACCCCACCTTTCCCTTACTACCAGCCCTCCCAACCACACCCCACTTTTCCCTTACTACCAGCCCTCCCAACCACACCCTACCTTTCCCTTCCTACCAGCCCTCCCAACCACACCCCTCCTTTTCCTTCCTACCAGCCTTCCCAACCACACCCTACCTTTCCCATGTGTTTTTGGTAGAAGAATTTTTATCTGCTGACAGGTTTGCGATATAAACCTGGCTGTTGACATGTAATCTGAACAAAACACCAGACTACTACGATATGTCAATCCTTTCATAAGTAGTCATTGTCAATGATGCTTTTAGTCATCAGACAAAATTTCACATATTAATAATATTAATGAATTTATTCAGGATAAATATGTACAGATTTGTGTACAAAACATATGAATATATGGCACATATAACATGTTATACATAATCAGGAATAAGTTGTTAGCTATATCTTTAATGTATCAGCTAGTTATAATTATTAATAAAGACAAAAGCACATATATCCTAGGATTTCTCAAAAAAACGTTAAAACGCTTTTTTCCATTGGGGGGTCCTTAAAATGGATTTACAAATGTGTTTCCCTCACTGATATACATAATAACTATCATGATTCTCTTATATTTTGTTTTGAAAGTGACGTTTCACTTGGATTTTGAACTTAAGCATGTTAAAGTAGAATGTTGTAGATTCTTTACCTTGTAATGATGGGAGACTGACATTATATGCTGAAGATCGAGTATTTTGTAGACATGGATTCTTTTTAAAGGAATTATACATATAGTTTGAAGCCTTTCATGGAAAGACATTAAACATATGATTCAGTCTGATTTGACTAACCCTATAATTAATGTCAAACATGTTTGTATGCAAAAAATCACTGCATCTTATATCATGCCTGTTTTGAACATTCAAAATAAATCTTATTACTTTGTTTTGTGCTACCTGTAATTTATGTTTTAGATTTTTGACAACCCTTCATACCAACCAGCATACCCATAGTCAAAAATGACAAAGAATCAATGCCGAGCAAAGAGTTTCTCAACCTATACAATAGACATTGCTCATTTCTGTAGTGAAATTTTAGTCACTGATTTACTTTTTTAACAATTGAATCTACTATTTCTTCACCCGATAGCAAATCGTTAAGGTCTATACCAAGATATTTTATACTCTTCATAACTTGAATGTCATGATTATTGCACAATATTTTAAAATTCATATTTGTAGCTTTTTCCAATTTTAAGGTAAAAGTAAGGAAGTGGTCACTTACAGTAACCACTCCAGATTGACGGACGTTTTCTGGAATATTACACAATATATGATCAATTACGGGAAGTTTCAGTTATTCTTGTCGGTTCTTTTATGAGTTGGGTTAGGCCATGCAATTTTAAGACATTTTCTTACATTTTAAATAGAGCATTTTTCGAAACTATTAAACATATGTTAAAATCTCCTAAAATGAAGATATCACAATCGGATGCTATACGAGATAGGAACATTTCTAACCTATCAGGAAATATTGTTTGAGTTAGAGGACGGGAACATGTTCCTCTAAATATTGGTTTTGTTTTCTATAAAAAATATTTCATCAGATTCTGTGGTCTACTGAAATATAACAGGGGTAAATGTAAGACCTTTATGGACATAACAAACTCCGTCCCCATAGTGGTCTCTGTCTTTTCTAAGTGTATGATATCCTTCAATCCCTACTTCCGTGTTAGTAATCGAGCTATATAGCTATGTTTCAGTGATACATATTACAGCAGCATTCGTTCTGTTAGCAATGATCTGGAGTTCTTGCACCTTTTTTAGCAATGATCTGATGTTCAGATGAAGAAAATAAAGTCCCTTTTTACTAAAAGTTTGAAACAGGTCTGATTCTGATTCATGCATTTTATGTTGTGTATGAATGTTGGCACTTATTCGCGTGTAGCAAGAATCTGCACAGTTTGTCTTTTCTTTAAATCGCCCTGCGTCCGTTGTCCGTCCGTCCGTAAATAATTCTTGTTACTAATTCTTGTCGCTATTTCTGGAAGAGCACTGGATAGATCTTTGTCAAATTTCATATGGAGCTTCCCCATGGTCCCTAATTGAGCATTTTACCTTTTTTGGACTGATCAGAATTCAAAATGGCTGACAGGCGGCCATCTTGGAGTTTGAAAGTAAAAGTTTGTTACTGCTATTTCTGTGAAAGCACTGGATGGATCTTTCTCAAATTTCATATGCAGGTTCCCCTTGGTCCCTAGTTGTGCATTGTACCTTTTTTGAACTGATTCGAATTCAAGATGGATGACAGGCGGCCATCTTGGATTTTGGAAGTAAAAGTTTGTTATTGCTATTTTTTGAAAAGTACTGGATGGATCTTTCTCAAATTTCATATGCAGTTTCCCCTTGGTCCCTAGTTGTGCATTGTACCTTTTTTGGACTGATTCAAATTCAAGATGGCAGACAGGTGGCCATCTTGGATTTTGAATGTAAAAGTTTGTTACTGCTATTTCTTGGAAAGTACTGGATGGATCTTTCTCAAATTTTATATGCAGGTTCCCTTTGGTTCCAAGTTGTGCATTATACCTTTTTTTACGGATCCAAAACCAAGATCGCTGACAGGCAGCCATCTTGGATTTTGAGAGTAAAATCTTGTTACTGCTATATCTGACGAAGTACTGGATGGATCCTTCTGATATTTCATAGATATTGGTTTCCCTTGGTCCCTAGTTGTGCATTGTACCTTTTTTGGACTGACTTGAAATCAAGGTGGCCCACAGGCAGCCATCTTGGATGTCAACAGTAATACAGCACAAGCATATTGTCCATTATCCACCTGTAACTGACTGCTATCTAATAATACTTTGGGATCTTTCTCAAATGATATTTGCTAATAGGTGCTTAATAAAAATATCTTGTGCCATCATTGAGTACATTCAATGAAGACCAGTTCATGAACATTAACAACACCCGTAACACACAAAAAAAAATAAACAAATCTTCAAAAACTGAAAACAGATCCTCAAATGGTGGGCGCCAAGATCCCTCTGGGATTTCTTGTTTAATAGTGTCTTGTATTTCATTTGCAATATTTTTCAAATTACTCATAAACCCAGATTTGGCTAGTTAGTCCTTGAATGTGATTCTAACTGATCGTGCTTTGGTATTTCCGGTTTGTGGTCTCATACCAAGCCTAGTAATCTTTGCAGCTTTCTCCACATCTGTTTTCATAATTCTGCGTATTTGTTCTATGAATAAACTGTCTTCCTTCTTCCTAGTTTCAAGCTTTTCAGACACTGCTTCATTGATGTTGAAAATTATTACATTATTCTCTTGAGCTTTTCGTTGGTTAATCTCAGTTAGAACTTCCTTGGGTTTGGCGACTGGTTGATTAGATATTTCAGGTCGTTGTTACTGAATTAGATATTTCAGGTCCCGTCGTTGTTACTGAATTAGATATTTCAGGTTAGATATTTCAGGTCCCGTTGTTGTTACTGAATTAGATATTTCAGGTCCCGTCGCTGTTACTGAATTAGACATTTCAGGTCCCGTCGTTGTTACTGAATTAGATATTTCAGGTCCCGTCGTTGTTACTGAATTAGATATTTCAGGTCCCGTCGTTGTTACTGAATTAGATATTTCAGGTCCCGTCGTTGTTACTGAATTAGATATTTCAGGTCCCGTCGTTGTTACTGAATTAGATATTTCAGGTCCCGTCGTTGTTACTGAATTAGATATTTCAGGTCCCGTCGTTGTTACTGAATTAGATATTTCAGGTCCCGTCGTTGTTAATGAATTAGATATTTCAGGTCCCGTCGTTGTTACTGAATTAGATATTTCAGGTCCCGTCGTTGTTACTGAATTAGATATTTCAGGTCCCGTCGTTGTTACTGAATTAGATATTTCAGGTCCCGTCGTTGTTCCTGAATTAGATATTTCAGGTCCTGTCATTGTTACTAAATTAGATATTTCAGGTCCCGTCGTTGTTACTGAATTAGATATTTCAGGTCCCGTGTCATTGTTACTAAATTAGATATTTCAGGTCCCGTCGTTGTTACTGAATTAGATATTTCAGGTCCCGTTTTTGTTACTGAATTGTATTTCAACTGAATTAGATATTTCAGGTCCCGTCGTTGTTAATGAATTAGATATTTCAGGTCCCGTCGTTGTTACTGAATTAGATATTTCAGGTCCCGTCGTTGTTAATGAATTAGATATTTCAGGTCCCGTCGTTGTTACTGAATTAGATATTTCAGGTCCCGTCGTTGTTAATGAATTAGATATTTCAGGTCCCGTCGTTGTTAATGAATTAGATATTTCAGGTCCCGTCGTTGTTACTGAATTAGATATTTCAGGTCCCGTCGTTGTTAATGAATTAGTCGTTGTTACTGAATTAGATATTTCAGGTCCCGTCGTTGTTACTGAATTAGATATTTCAGGTCCCGTCGTTGTTAATGAATTAGATAATTCAGGTCCCGTCGTTGTTAATGAATTAGATATTTCAGGTCCCGTCTTTGTTACTGAATTAGAATGAACTACTTTCCATGCATTCTTTAGTTCAGCTTCTATAAGTTCTTTCTTTTCACATATTATTACTGTATATCTATTTTTTGTCTGATTGTCGATATAGTTTTTGAGGAAACGGTTGAAACATGAATTCAGATCACTTCATGTGTGTGAGATTAAGCTGTCATGGCAGCCATTTATTGTGTTTTGATTCATTATTAGTTCTGTTAGTTTCAAACTCATCATTATGTAAATCTTGGACTCATGCTTTTCCTGCGAGACTTGTCCAAATTATGAAACCAAATGGGAATCCTCAAACTTTTGAAAAACTTGTTCTGAACTTTACAGGAAAAAATATGAGCTAAAAAGAGTGATTAGTATATATCATTTTTCAAAACTTCAACAAGCTGTGATATGTATGTTTTGAATGACTGCTGTTGTGTGTACTCCACCTGACTTATAGCGGTGGTCTACACATTTTTGATGTTGTCAAAGCTACAAAATTTTAATCTTTATTCAGACAAACTTCTAGGGTAAAAAATATTCAGGTTTTAGTTTTTTGATGATGTAAATTTATCATTCCTCTCATCAGCAGTAGAAGCTGAGGGGAGAAAGTTTGTTTACTAGGTACATCATCCTGTGTGAAAATTCAGGGTCATTTGAAGGTGGTATCTACTTGTAGAAGCTGGTTGCTGTCCACACTGAATAACATTTGGGAAGGTGTTCCGTCACATCATCCATATCAATAAGGGTAGAATATCTTGCCAGGTCAGCACTAACTGATCCGTTTCTCAACTTTGTGAGAAATATTAACCACCATAGATAGGGATACTTCGATCTTCATCCAAGGATAGGAAATCCAGGACTCCTAATAATCTGAGGTATTGCAGCTTTAGGGGAAATTGTGAGGGGAAAATTGATCTGCAAAATCTGTTTATGATTTCCTGTATAACAATTCATGGTGCATAAAGCAAGACTCTAAAACCTGAAGACATTATACAGCTAAATGTGTAAGTCTCCCACATATGTATTATTCAGTAATTAGATATAGGTACCAGCCACTACATGAATACACGGTCAGAAAATGACCCTAACTGTACATTTAGGTGTGAAACACAGCAAGCAAACAAACTAGAGGCTGTGATAGCGTGGCAGATTAAGCAGTAACCTATGTAACCTCGGGTAAAGATCCAAGGTCCGTGGTTCAACACTCACTACTCATAGCCAATGTATGCTGACATGGTTATGACTTTGGGCAAAACACTTTTCCTAATTGTTCTGGATCTCATGTGATGGGCCTCTTGTATGTTGTTCAGTGAGGTAACCACCAGAGACTCTGTCTGTTCACAGGATAACACAAACAACATACAAACATGCACATAAAGTAATTGTTCGACATTCTATGTTCCTAATGAAAAGATGGTAATATGGCTCTGATGTTATTTTGAGAATACAAACGACTGAGAAATTGTTTTAGTGTGATTACATTAGCTCTGTAGGACATACATGAAATAGCTTTACTCGTGTCCATTTGTCCTTCACATTGTTACAGTAAGGTGGCCACCAGTCAAGGATAAAGGATCAAAGGTCACATTTGATAGCTAGCTACTGCAAAGTTGTCGAGCAATGAAACAGTTTATCGGTTGAAAAAAATTAATGCCTCTGAACTTCAATGATTTTAATTTACTTATAAACCAAAATATATTTAATTAATTTAACAAATCAAATTTTAAGGATAATGAATTTTTTTACACTCAGATTAAGGTCTGATATTTTGACTGATAGGATTTTCACTCAACTTCCAGTATTCTGTAGTTGAGGGACCCTGATTGAGATTTTTATCCTGTTGAATGCCTTCATACTTAGATGCATGGGAACTAGGACATTCATATTGTTGACATTTTCAAGTCTTTAAAGAAAACATTGTATTCCAGATATATGCAGACACTGGCTGCTTTAGAGTCCAACTAGAGAAAAAAACACTTACATGCTGTGGTTCTTCGGGACTCGGATGTAGAGGCCTTGACTTAAGCTTTTCCTGTGGGACTCATTCAAATTTTGAAACTCAACTCTATCTCTCTGTGTTGGGAATCTTCCAAGTATTGGAACTGGTGTTCTGAAATTGCCTTCAAACATCCTACAAAACTTACTGGAAGTAGATTTTTTTCTTCAATATTCTTTTTACGAATAGTGTTTGACATTTTTCAGGACCAAATGTCGGGACTGTCTGCGGAGGCGGAAGTTTTTATACCCAGGGGGGTGAGTCCACAGTCTGAAGGACAGATGAACATCCAGCAGATCCCGTCCTACATGACTAACTGTTACCCTTTTGTGCAGACTGAGTACAGGTATAAACGTAGCTTTTACAAATAAATCTGATCTATGATCACTAGAGATACATCAGATGTTATTGTAGGTTTTAACGACTTCTAAAAGTTCTTATAAACGTGTTTGTTTGTTTCCTGTTTCAAACAATTCATATAAAGACAATTGTGTAGCATTCCAATGGTACTTGAAATTGGTATTTTGAGAGCGAAGCGCATACATATTAAGTGTGACAGGAGACACAAATCGTTCAGATTTTGATATAATTACAATGTTTGTATGTATAAAATTTCATGTTGTCATTTTCAGAATGCCATGGGTATCAAACTCAAGACCACTTCGGCATGGTTATCATGGTTTCCATGGAAATCGAAAACACAGAATGTCTGGAGGTAAAGGTTATACAGATGAATGAGGCCTGAATTTTCCTCTTACTATATTTTAATATGTCAGGAACACTTGGGTGTTTAGTTCCCTAACTGTAATAATACATTTCCAAATCTCATTTGATATTTAAGTCTAAAACTGAGAATTTGATATTAAACAATTGCATATTATGAACTAAAGGAAGATCTAGATGTTATATTCTGCAGGAATGTAGGAATAGGGCAATAAGGGTCAATTTGGTCCACATCTTCCACTGATGCAGTGAAATTGATAGTGGCAAGGATGTACATTTAATTTTATATCTAAATGTACATGAAAACGTGAGAACACAAATTTGACATTTTTTCTCTAGCTACTTGAAACAAAATAAGTCCTGAAGCACTGTTTCAGTATAGTTTCTATATTTATATCAACTGTTGTGTTCAACCAATTTTTGTATCCCTCTACTCAAAGGGAAAACAAGGGGACATACAGTTTTAACCCAGTCATTATATCTGTGGAAGACCTAATCAGGACATATTTCCTATAAAAATTCCATCACAAATGTCGCGCCATTGTCTTGTAGAAAAGATGGGTTGCTTGACTTTGATGTTGACCTTTGACCTCAATTAAGAAAATAATTTTCACACCACTGTTCAGGAACAAATTTATTTGTGTTTCTTAATATTTTTCCAGCACACATATATATGCTCTGGTAGTGGTGTTTTGATGACTTTTGTAATTTGTGGCCTCATTTTGAAAAAAAATAAAGATCAAAATGGCTTTGTATACCTGTATGTATTGATCTGAACCTGACTGTACATTTAGACATCAAATGTCTGGACATTGCATCAGTTCTTGAGGACTATTCTTCACATGCATCTTATTTATTTATTTCAATTTTTAGAAAAAAAGATAATTTAATATCTATTTATATAAATAAGATAATTTTTTGCTGTGGCTCAAAGACCATTTTTCAGAAGTCTGGGTTTGTTGATATACACACACCTGATCTGTATCTTTACAATAGGTCCAATTTTCTATTCATTAAATTGTTTTCTTCTGTCTTGTAGGTAACCATGGAAACAGAATGCCAGGTGGCCCTGGTAAATATATGGAACAATCTAATCCTTTCATGTTTCATGGTGTTCCCCCTCCTTTGGAAATGGGATGGAACAATCCAGTGTCCTATAACCCAAATCTACCAGCAACATCTATGGAATACCCTGGAGCACTTCCAAATGGAATGCCATTTGATGGGGGTACGTGCGAATCCCAGAATAGCCGTCAGAATCACCGTGATGCTACAGCTGGGAAGAGGCAGCAAAAAAAAGACAATTCTAGTCAGAAAAAGAACTCGAATGACAAAAAAGAAAGAAAAGTTAGTGAGAAAGAGGACACCGTAATATCTGAACAAAAGCTGGATGGAAAGAAGAAAGGAGAAAGGAATAAACAACAACAGGTACAGATTTCATGTTTATTTATACATCAAACAAAGCATCCACGAGATGCTGTAACAGGGCCAGAGTTGTACATTCAATTACTTCTGAGGATTTTTTATTTTGTAACTTATCGTTTGACTTACAGTGAAAAAATACAAGGGGTACATAATGTATGCACTTCCAAACATATGATATAATATTTTTGCACATTTCCAGTCTTATAACAGAATCACACAAATATCACCACTACATTCATTGATATATCTATAGATATATATGTAAACACAGACATGCACACACATTAAATGTACAGTCTAACATACATACACAGGCACACAGGCGCACACACACATACACACACACATCACCATCACCACCATACAGGCACACCACCACACAGGCCCCCACACACACACCATCACCACACAGACAAACCACACAGGACCCCACACACACCATCACCACAAATGCACACAAGCACACATACACACCAACACCACCACACATGCACACAGGTGCACACACACACCACCATACATGAACATATACCATCGCACACACACACCCTTCCTCACTCTGATACGCACACACCTTCCCTCACTCCGACACACACACCTTCCCTCACCCCGATACACACACCCTCCCTTACTCCCACACACACCCTCCCTCACCCTGATACACACACACCTTCCCTCACTCAGACACACACACCACCATACATGAACATATACCACCACACACACACCCTCCCTCACCCTGATACACACACCCACCTTCCCTTACTCTGACACACACACCTTCCCTCACCCTGATACTAACACCCTCCCTCACCCTGATACACACACACCTTCCCTCACTCCGACACACACACACACACCCTCCCTCACCCTGATACACATACACACCTTCCATCACCCTGATATACACACACACACACCTTCCCTCACTCCGACACACACACCCTCCTTCATCACACTCTCCCTCACCCTGATACACACACACACCTTCGATCACCCTGATACACACACACACACCTTCCCTCACCCTGATACACACACACACCTTCCCTCACCCTGATACACACACACACCTTCGATCACCCTGATACACACACACACCTTCCCTCACCCTGATACACACACACACACACACTCCCTAACCCTGATACACACACTCCCTAACCCTGATACACACACACAACCTCCCTCACCCTGATACACACACACCCTCACCCCAATACACACACACGCACCCTCACCCCGATACACACACACCCTCACACATATGGAAATTGTCATTTCTTATCTTGGTGCTCCACACAATACAGCTACTAAAATTGAATGGTTAACACTGTCCGAGTCATTAAAATAATCACAATTTTGTCGTAATTTCCATAATAAGTCCAGGATCATCTCTTGACTCAAACTAGGGAAATAAAGCTTATTACATGCCAAAGGTAAAGCATGTGTTTGTACACCTTGCTGCAGCAGGAGATAGTATATTGCATGGATTTATAGCCAAAATAACATGTTGAGTTCACAATTTTGTACCATAAACTTATGAATTTGATACAGTTTGATTCAGGTATAACACGTAGTTAAACAAAATATATGAACTAAGAAACCTGTTGTTATAAAAATGTCCCGATATGAAAATAAATATATATAAAAACAAATTAGAATTTTAAGTACAACTGCAGTTTTATTTTTTATAAGATTTTGGATTCTTTCATTAGTGAAAGATGGCAAGTTTGGGCAAGTAAAAATTGGTGGTTTCATATTTTTTATAAAAACCAAGTACAAAAGACAACAAATATCCCTTATTAAATTTTGTTGACATCAAAATTTACCATTCACTGTGATATTATAACTTGAACTCTGTATTTACATGAATTGTGAAATATTTAATGGACCTTGTCAACTCCGTCATAATTACAGAAAGCCATATTGTGTCTGCTGTGTGAAATATTAAATATTCTCATTGGCCATAATATTCGTGGATTTTCAAAAAAGAACTTTTTGAGTGGGTGCTTGATTTTGTGGCTAAATATAGCTCTATAAACCTAGTATGTGATCTACTATACATCTTTCAACAGTCTGTGGACATATAAATTCATAGATTAAAAGTGCTTACAAAACAAACAGAAATAAATCTCACATTGAATATTAATGATTTTATAGAACTATGATGTTCCTTAGATGGCAAAGTTTTTTTACCACTCTTGTTTCCATATTATATATATATTGTATCCTGGATACTCCAGGGGTTACAATCACTTTAACTCTCTGCATCCTTGGAACATGTCATAGCAGAATTGAAGGTTTAATGTGCAACACCTACATCAAGGATAGTTTTATCCTTAGATTAACATCAAACGAATCACAAGATTGGATAACAGTATATTGTAATGGCTTTGAAGTTGGGTGTCTCTCCTTTGTATGGGTAATCCTCAAAAGGAGTGTATCAGCCAGTGATTGGTCATTATTTTTTTCCCTTCAATCAATCAAACTACTTCCTAAATGCCTTCAACATGTTCTAGGGTGCAGAGAGTGAAAGCGGTCATACCCCTGGGGTATTGAGGAATGTGGATGATAGGGTTAGGACTTAAAGTATTTATATACAAAGTCTGTTTAGAGGTACAAGCTACTGTAACATGGAAAATTTTCCAATATGCTGTCTTTCAAGTTTCTAAAGCTGATGCAGAATTTGTTTGGGATTTCTAGGAACTTGGTAGACATAGTTAGTTCAGCGCTATTTTATAGCATATATCCACACTTCATACCATGCGATAAATCTATGGTATACATTGGACAGTTAAAGATTGATTTTTTTTACCTCCTGGACACATTTTCAGTCCCAATTTTTATACGCGGCCAGAGGCGGTCGTATATTGGCGTCATCTATTCTTGTGAACGCAACTCCTCCTAAAATAATCATCAGATTTTCACGAAACTTGCTCAATGTCACTACTACAATGTAGATGTGCATGAAGGGGCGATTTTTCGGTTCTTTGATTTTTGTAAGATTTATGTCATTTATGATCTCAGGTCCCTGTCTCTTCCAGCTAACTGGTCTCACAGACTTCATTTTGAGCTTATGTTTACAGACATGTTAAAAGCGATAATTAAAAGGACCAATCTTGATCTTTATATTTTGTGGTGGCATATATTGTGTCCACGGCACTCTTGTTTGATGTATGGAATATATTGATTAAACATTTTTTTCAGCAATATCAGTCACAAAAGGTACATTTGTAAATTATGTAGGTGCACATACAGGTGCATATGATATGTACTATTTTACTCTACAATGCTGGTATTTAAACTCCAGCCTGGTAAAAAATTCTACCCAGATATATTGTTGTTTTACACCATTGACCACCTACAAAGGTAATTTCAATTTTTCTCTTATAAGCCCGCTCCATTTCTCTATTTTTAATCGGAGTTTTAATGTAGGCTGTCCAGGTTAATTTCAAAAGCTTATATCTTATTACACTAACTGGTATTTATCCTGAAACATTTATTGAAAATTCAGGATATCAAAGCTTAACAGATCATTATGAAAACTGTATTTACAAGACATCAATGCTATGCTTAATTAAACCTGATGATGTATGGAAAAAATAATTGCCCAGTCAGAAATATTGTGTCAAACTTCAAAAGAAATGAAAAAAAATTTTGGCACTTTTACAATAAAGAAACTTGCAAATTTAGGTATATACAAACAACGCTGTTTTTTGTCACCACGAGGCTGAATACAGTAAATATTTATGACAGGTGTATTAAACTGACAATGGTAACACCAGTTGCTGGATATGCTTATGGTTAAAACCTGAAACAATATGCAAGTCCAAACATAAAGTGTAGATGTACCTAGTTTAATACCTATATATAAATGTATATTATAATAACTTAAAACAACATGTCAAATTAAGCATTAACACTCTCATTGCTGAATTTTCATGATGCTTAATAGATTGTCTACATACAATGTCTGTGAAAGGCAGGAAATGAACGTACAGGAGTGAAAGCGTTAATGCTTAACTTGACATGTTATTTTAAGTTATACTAATATATTTCACCGGACACTGAGAATTCAACTTTTATATTTGAATATATATGTATAAATTTTTTTCACTTTTTTTTTATTATTTCACCTTTTGCATTACGTAGTGAAGTCAAGCAGTGTATTATTGCATCATTACTACCTATGTTGTAATTCAGCGTTTTCAAGACCCATGTGAATAAAGCACCTATATTCTTGTTTGTTTTGAAAAGACAAACAACAGTACTTCAGATGTAAGGCTTTAATCAATGTCATTGCAGCTCTCATAGTCATAGGTTTTAACATTAAATATTTACTTACATGTAACTGTGTTTAGGAATTTGAACGATACCCATTAACTTTTTAACATTTTGAATTTTTATATCTTCAGTCAACTTTTCTAGGTATCAAATGTGATATTTCACACGTATATAATAAAAAAAATTTAAGTCAGAAATTGGATCAAAGTTAAGACTTAAATAGCATGACAAAATGGTAGCCAGTATTATGCATTTTATTATATTACTTGGTCACATTACAATGTAAAAGTATATTATTTTTTCAGGTTGAAACTTGGTAACCTCAAATGTGATATGTACAGTCTTGTGATTTGTGGTAAATGTTTTCTGACTGTGAGTTGGGGTAGGGGGGAGGTGTGTGTATGTGTACACATGTGTGTGGGGGGGTGGGGGATAGGGGGGATGTGTGTGTATGTGTACACATGTGTGTGGGGGGGGTGGGGGATAGGGGGGATGTGTGTGTATGTGTACACGTGTGTGTGTGGGGGGGGGGGGAGGAGGAGGGAGAGGGATCTTATTCATATATGAGCTAATCTCTCAAAAACATTTTGTGTCAGAAAAAATTGCCAGAAAATATAAAATACGTGTATTAGGGAAGTGTGGGATGTGTAAGGGGGATTGTTATTTATATATGAGAGTGTCTCAAACAGTGTATGAAAAAACATACCGGTATATGGAGAACAATTTATGCTAAGCTAAATGGACTGTAATGTCAGAACATTTTTATCTTGTTGTAGTATCATGTACCTAATCACATACGCTATTTACCTTCATATTAGACACCTCATCTGTTGGAGTTTAGAATTAGAGTTTGGGAAGTGTATCTACGTGTTTTAAAATTGATCACTCTGCAAAAATAAAGAGCGGGCTGAAGTATTAAGACAGGAGTTGCTAAGAGGGAATATACACTATGAAATGATTTTCAGATCGATACAGTTTGTATACAGAGGTACACGTACAAGTGCAAACGTGCATTCTTATCAAAATCAAGTTCGCTTCCTCTGTGTCGTCATGGCGATAGACAACAAACAGATACATATAGCCTTGTAGAGGTCATAAAATGTTTTCAATATTTAAACCAATTTTCATTATTAGTTTGAAGAATATATATCAGCTCATATAAAGCAGTAAAATTATATAGAAATCAAACAAGTCTGTATAATGATATAAAATTAATATACAAACATTTTCAAGTAGACACATGTTTAAAAAATAAGTAAACTTATAATTCTTATTTTTGCTTTAGTTAAGTTGACAAATCTTTGAAGGAATCAACATGTTGACTTGTAACTTGTGATATATATAGATTTGTTGACACAAACGTAATCCCGTGTGGGTTTAATGACCGAGATCCCTGGCGCACTCTAACAATTGTGTCTTTCTTTCTAAACTCTATCTACATAATATTTACACAGGGATCAATACCACATTTTTGTAGTAATTCCACTCATTTTGCACCTGGTGATATAGGTCTCTGTTTTGTGGTTATATCATCAGCGAATATCAATGTTGATAATTTATCTGTATTTTTTTGTCAAAACTTCACCTTGGTTTATGTAATATATATATATAATGTAGACGGAAAACCTGCTGATTTTTTAAAAATATTTTTTACATAGATTTCAAATTCATAAATAAAATAATGAATCTTACTGATCTGTTACAGAGCAGTATAAGATATTTTGGTTACAAATATTCATGTCTATGATGTGAAGCTGTGAAGCTGAACAGTTTCAAAAAGTTACAAAGTATGAGTTAACTATATTCATTTATCCATATACAAGTGTACATAGGAAAGAAGCACTTCTCGGTTTTGCCATCAGCTCTAGAACTACTGATGGACCTTGAGATAACTGGCTGTAGCTGGAAGGCAACATATAATTATACAAATAGATTGAAATCTGCCACACTAGATGTGTATTGTATTTTTTTTTCTTTTTGTTTATTTTAAGTCTGTAAAAGAAGTTTTTTGTAAACTATATAAAAAGAAAAATGTAGCCTTTATATTATCATATTTTTTCTGTACTTTTAATTACTGGAAAAATCAGAAATGCCAAAAAATAAACTTTAATTTTTTATGTATATGCATACCATCGGACCATGTTATCTCAAACTTGAACTTGAAGACCTTGTTCAATTTGAAGCATTTTGTCTGCCCGTAACTGCCTAATTTTACACAAAATATTCAAAGTCACTTAGATTGAATACTCGGTTATCTAGAAGTTTTCCCAAGGCCCAACCGACTTTGAGGTAATGAGGTTTGACTGTAGTCTTAAGTTGTATTGATTTATGATTGTGCAATTTTTATAAACACCTCAGAGGTATGAAAATGTAATAATGTACATATACCTGTAAATGTATTGTATGTCGGCTGGCAAAATCAGGGGTGGCAACCTCTACCTGGAACATTATTGATTAGTTTTTTCTCAGAAAGCTGAAATCACATGTCAACCAATATCCACTCTGGCAGGTGACCTTGACCTCAAGCTAGATTCTTTTTCCCATTGGATAACATCATGTGGCCAGTTTTCAATATGAATTTTGTCTTCTTGTCTTATTTTGACTGTCATAAATATCCTAAATTTTCTTGACTTTAATGAACTGCAAACTTTTGAATAAATTGACCTTGTATCGCTCTAGGAAGTGCCCAGAATTTTAGCCTAATCTAATAGATGGTGGGTTATTCAAATCGCCCTGCGTCCGTGGTCCATCGTCCATCAGTCCGTAAACAATTCTTGTTACCGCTATTTCTGGAAAAGTACTGGATGGATCTTTCTCAAATTTCATATGCAGTTTCCCTTTGGTCCCTAGTTGTGCATTGTACCTTTTTTGGACTGATTCGAATTCAAGATGGCCGACAGGTGGCCATCTTGGATTTTGGAAGTAAAAGTTTGTTACCGCTATTTCTTGGAAAGTTCTGGATGGATCTTTCTCAAATTTCATATGCAGTTTCCCCTTGGTCCCTAGTTGTGCATTGTACCTTTTTTGGACTGATTCAAATTCAAGATGGCCGACAGACAGCCATCTTGGATTTTGGAAGTAAAAGTTTGTTACTGTTATTTCTTGGAAAGTACTGGATGGATCTTTCTCAAATTTCATATGCAGTTTCCCCTTGGTCCCTAGTTGTGCATTGTACCTTTTTGGACTGATTCAAATTCAAGATGGCAGACAGACAGCCATCTTGGATTTTGGAAGTAAAAGTTTGTTACTGCTATTTCTTGAAAAGTACTGGATGGATCTTTCTAAAAATTTCATATGCAGGTTCCCTTTGGTTCCAAGTTGTGCATTATACCTTTTTGGACTGAACCGAAATCAAGATGGCTGACAGGCAGCCATCTTGGATTCTGAGAGTAAAATCTTGTTACTGCTATATCTGAGAAAGTACTGGATGGATCCTTCTGATATTTCATAGATATTGGTTTCCCTTGGTCCCTAGTTGTGCATTGTACCTTTTTTGGACTGATTTGAAATCAAGGTGGCCCACAGGCAGCCATCTTGGATGTCGACAGTAATACAGCACAAGCATATTGTCCATTATCCACCTGTAACTGACTGCTATCTAATAACACTTTGGGATCTTTTTCAAATGATATTTGCTAATAGGTGCTTAATAAAAATATCTTGTGCCATCATTGAGTACATTCAATGAAGACCAGTTCATGAACATTTACAACACCTGTAACAAAAATAAAGAAATAAACAAATCTTCAAGAACTGAAATCAGATCCTCAAATGGTGGGCACCAAGATCCCTCTGGGATCTCTTGTTTTTATATGATATTGGTATTATTGATCGGTTGGAACGATAAAAATCCTACAGAAGTTATGTTAACTTGTTTGTACCCTGTGATATAGAATTGATCTCTGTATTTACGTATTTTATATAGAAATTACATCATACCAAGAAAGTATTATTATTACAATACTGAATTTTTATCATTTGATGAAATCTCCAGAGAGACACTTTAAATCTGAATTTTACTGAACATTTTGTTGTTAAATAAAAATCACAAGAGGAAATAATTTCTAAGATCTATCTAGTGTTGGGTATAATCTTATAAATTATCTGCTCAAAGGATGTAATAGTGTACATAAAATCAAATAAATAGATAAACAATGAATAAATAGATAAACCTTTTGAATAAATAGATAAACCTTTTGAATAAATAAATAAACCTTTTGAATAAATAGATAAACCTTTTGAATAAATAAATAAACCTTTTGAATAAATAGATAAACCTTTTGAATAAATAGATAAACCTTTTGAATAAATAGATAAACCTTTTGAATAAATAAATAAACCTTTTGAATAAATAGATAAACCTTTTGAATAAATAGATAAACCTTTTGAATAAATAGATAAACCTTTGAATAAATAGATAAACCTTTTGAATAAATAGATAAACCTTTTGAATAAATAGATAAACCTTTTGAATAAATAAATAAACCTTTTGAATAAATAGATAAACTGCTATACAATGACACCAATTCCTGTAAGTTTATCTGTCAGAAATCTGTAAAAGATAATTTCAAATTATGCAATCATTTTACTGTTGACAGATCAAATTTTAGTATAATTTTATGCAAATTAGCTTCATGATGAATTGTCATGTTTGGAATAATTGGTATTTAAACAAAATACAGAAATTTCAATTTGTGTAATCATATTTTCCAGCACAATATTTTTAGTGAAAAAATTGCGTAAATATGATGCGCTAAAAATATTACAGTTACAGTATATAAGAAGTGTTATCATATACATTCTTTGTAATAAAGTACATATTTATATATAAACACAACAATCATAATAAAAATGAAATCCAACAACATTTGATATAGAGTCACACAATTAAGACATTTGATATTGAATTCAATTTTTTATTTATCAAAGAAAAGACATTTCACAAAACGGGAAATTATGTACCCTAAGATCATTTAATTTTGTGGGGCAGGAATTTCATGATTTCCAGAAAATAAACATCTTCATTGATGATGGGCACTGGATTTTGTAGATAAATCCTGCTCAGAAAAATTCTCCTGTACTCTAACAATAACCTTTGTTACTTTGTTAATATTTTGATCGACAGTCAACATTGAAACTTTCTAAATCATGTCACCCTTTATATGTATAGAAATTCACCAAACAATGATATATATACCTAAATCAATCTAGGGCATCCATGTCTTGTGGTCATTTTCTTAACGAAGTTTCAGTTCTCAAAACACAAAGGAAAATGTAAAGAAGGAATGATTTGAAATGTAAGGGCAACTGCACTGAAAACCTGATCACATTCTCCATCTCTATTTAGTATTTGTAATTCAGTTTATATTATTCCCCTACCAGTGAAGATGGGGGGGGGGGCTATAGTTTTCCTCTTTGTCCATCCATGCGTCTGTTCATCTTTGTATCTGTGAAACTTTATCATCACTCTAACGATGTCATTCTCATGAAACTTCACACACATATAAAGCATTAGATTATTTTGGAGAAGTTGAGTTCCACAGTTGTTGGGTCAAGGTCACTGTTACTATTTTTATGAAATTTATAAATCATAACAGTGTAATAGATTGTGGGGGTCTGGTGATGGACATGTATGTCTTCACCAATAAACACTCAGTCTGTTCCAAGTTGACATTTTTTATTTCTGTTCTGACAGAGAGATCGACAGAACAACATGATGGTGGCCTCGAAAAAAGTTCAGGGATCATCAGCCCTAAGAGAAGAACGTGTGCCTAGAGGCATAATCTTCAAGGAGATATCCATACAAACAGGTTATTGGTGACTTAATGAAATATCATCAAGGAACAGGTGTAATCAGACAGTATAACGAAGGGAAAAGCTGTATTTTGTTACTTTAAGTACTATTTCAGTAAAACATCTACTTGACTCTGTCATAGATTATTTCTGTCCATGGTTCAGTGTCCTGCCTTTTGCTTCTAAGTAAATTAAGTAAATTGAAATTCTACAGTGATATCCCAAAACAACCTGTCCTAAACAATACCTGGAGTCCTGGGGTGGGAGAGATGTTTTACTGGAATAGTCCCAAAACAACCTGGAGTCCTGGGGTGTGATAGATGTTTTACTGGAATAGTCCTAAACAAAACCTGGAGTCCTGGGGTGTGATAGATGTTTTACTGGAATAGTCCTAAACAAAACCTGGAGTCCTGGGGTGGGAGAGATGTTTTACTGGAATAGTCCTAAACAAAACCTGGAGTCCTGGGGTGGGAGAGATGTTTTACTGGAATAGTCCCAAACAAAACCTGGAGTCCTGGGGTGGGAGAGATGTTTTACTGGAATAGTCCTAAACAAAACCTGGAGTCCTGGGGTGTGATAGATGTTTTGCTGGGATAGTCCTAGACAAAACCTGTAGTCCTGGGGTGGGAGAGAAATTTTACTGGAATAGTCCTAAACAAAACCTGGAGTCCTGGGGTGGGAGAGATGTTTTACTGGAATAGTCCTAAACAAAACCTGTAGTCCTGGGGTGGGAGAGAAATTTTACTGGAATAGTCCCAAAACAACCTGGAGTCCTGGGGTGGGAGAGATGTTTTGCTGGAATAGTCCTAGACAAAACCTGGAGTCCTGGGGTGTGATAGATGTTTTATTTGAGCAGCCCTTCATGCTAAATTGTTGGCTGAAATGGTATTTTTACAAATCCTAAATATGGGTACCCCAAAATTCTGCTAATGTGAATGTCTCTCCATAAACATCAAACTTCTCTGATGACATTATCATGGAATCCTTCAGTTATTTAGGATAAACTGATGAAATAGGTGTTAAACCACTGATAACAGGGTAGTTATGTAATGGGTGTTATTATACTGATAACAGGATAGTTATGTATTGGGTGTTATTACACTGATAACAGGATAGTTATGTAATGGGTGTTATTACATTGATAACAAGGTAGTGATATAATGGGTGTTATTATACTGATAACAGGATAGTTATGTAATGGGTGTTATTATACTGATAACAGGATAGTTATGTATTGGGTGTTATTACACTGATAACAGGATAGTTATGTAATGGGTGTTATTACATTGATAACAAGGTAGTGATATAATGGGTGTTATTATACTGATAACAGGATAGTTATGTAATGGGTGTTATTATACTGATAACAGGATAGTTATGTATTGGGTGTTATTACACTGATAACAGGATAGTTATGTAATGGGTGTTATTACATTGATAACAAGGTAGTGATATAATGGGTGTTATTATACTGATAACAGGATAGTTATGTAATGGGTGTTATTATACTGATAACAGGATAGTTATGTATTGGGTGTTATTACACTGATAACAGGATAGTTATGTAATGGGTGTTATTACATTGATAACAAGGTAGTGATATAATGGGTGTTATTATACTGATAACAGGATAGTTATGTAATGGGTGTTATTATACTGATAACAGGATAGTTATGTATTGGGTGTTATTACACTGATAACAGGATAGTTATGTAATGGGTGTTATTACATTGATAACAAGGTAGTGATATAATGGGTGTTATTATACTGATAACAGGATAGTTATGTAATGGGTGTTATTATACTGATAACAGGATAGTTATGTATTGGGTGTTATTACACTGATAACAGGTTAGCTATGTTATGGGTGTTATAACACTGATAACAGGGTATTTATGTCATGAGAGTGTTATTACACTGATGACAGGTTAGCTATGTTATGGGTGTTATAACACTGATAACAGGGTATTTATGTCATGAGAGTATTATTACACTGATGACAGGGTAGTGATGTAATGGGTGTTATTACACTGATAACAGGGTAGTTATGTAATGGGTGTTATTACACTGATAACAGGGTAGTTATGTAATGGGTGTTATTACACTGATAACAGGGTAGTTATGTAATGGGTGTTATTACACTGATAACAGGGTAGTTATGTAATGGGTGTTATTACATTGATAACAAGGTAGTGATATAATGGGTGTTATTATACTGATAACATGATAGTTATGTAATGGGTGTTATTATACTGATAACAGGATAGTTATGTATTGGGTGTTATTACACTGATAACAGGTTAGCTATGTTATGGGTGTTATAACACTGATAACAGGGTATTTATGTCATGAGAGTGTTATTACACTGATAACAGGTTAGCTATGTTATGGGTGTTATAACACTGATAACAGGGTATTTATGTCATGAGAGTATTATTACACTGATGACAGGGTAGTGATGTAATGGGTGTTATTACACTGATAACAGGGTAGTTATGTAATGGGTGTTATTACACTGATAACAGGGTAGTTATGTATTGGGTGTTATTACACTGATAACAGGTTAGCTATGTTATGGGTGTTATAACACTGATAACAGGGTATTTATGTCATGAGAGTGTTATTACACTGATAACAGGTTAGCTATGTTATGAGTGTTATAACACTGATAACAGGGTATTTATGTCATGAGAGTATTATTACACTGATGACAGGGTAGTGATGTAATGGGTGTTATCACACTGATAACAGGGTAGTTATGTAATGGGTGTTATTACACTGATAACAGGGTAGTTATGTAATGGGTGTTATTACACTGATAACAGGGTGGTTATGTAATGGGTGTTATTACACTGATAACAGGGTAGTTATGTAATGGGTGTTATTACATTGATAACAAGGTAGTGATATAATGGGTGTTATTATACTGATAACAGGATAGTTATGTAATGGGTGTTATTATACTGATAACAGGGTAGTTATGTAATGGGTGTTATTACACTGATAACAGGGTAGTTATATGATAAATGTAAATTATAAGTTGTCTTAAAATACCCCTGTAAATCCACCAAAGTGAACTGTCCTTCTTTCTCTTTGAGAATGTTTGTTTATACATATGTAAGAAATGTTTAAACATTAATTGATTTTGATACACTTAAGGCCATAACGACACGTATTGCATTTATCCTTTGTTTTAAAAAATGGCTGTCATATTTGCGCTGATAGAGAACTTTTTTATTTTACAGAATTTCCTGAGAGATTTGCTAACAAAACTTTAGCCGTTTACCCTTGTCCCTTCTACTCGCCTCAGAATCACAATGGATGCCGATTATTATATAGCAGTGATTCGGAGCTGGATTCAGACAGCGGCTACAGTAGTCCATTACACAAAAGAAATTATGTGTCAAGTGGAACGCATCCTGCAGAATTTACTGAAACAGTCGTCTTCACTCAACACTCTGAATCAGTACAGAGCATATCAAATGCTAATCAGTCAGAGAAGAGACAGAATATATCAAAATCTTCCCAATCGGGGAATAGCATATCAAATAGTGACAAATTAGGGCAAAATAAGTTAAATTTACTCCATCCAGAGCAGAGACCTTATAATCAAAATTCTGTCCAATCAGGACAGAGTGATGTAGTGACTCCTTCAGCTGTCCCGCAGCAAAAACTGAGCTATGCTATGATTGCTCAAAAAGTGCCTAGTCCAAAATCAAGTGTTCAACCTGAAAACACACCAAGTGCAAATGTCTGTGATATATCAAATGATTGTAAAAATTCCAACAATGTCTCAGGGGAGATAACTCATAGTGCCAAGAAGTCTGTGAATATTAGTTCAAAACCTATAGAAAATGCTGGTGATAATAAAAATATGGATAATGTTGAGGACAATGAAACCACAACTGGTGAAAAGAAGAAAAGAAAAAGAAACAGGAAAAGGTCAAAGAGAAAGAAATTTGAGGACTCCTCAAACCAACGGACCACTGAAGATGTTGAGTTACACTTTGAAGATGAGGAAGAATTTCCAGATTTGTTAGGAAGTGTTCGATCACCTTCACAGGATCGGTATTCATCTGTTGGAAGGGAAAAGATTTCTTCAACAAGAGAGACAACTCCTCCAAAAGAAAATCATTTTTTTGATCATGACAATGTATACTTAGATAGTTTACAAAAAAATGAAAGGACAACACATGTGCTGCCCTCTGATAATGGAAGTGTGAGTGATTCAGGGGAGACAAGTGCAAATAAAACACCAAACTATTCAAATCCTAGTCCAGTTGTTATGGCAACACCTGTCAACGTGTCTGGCCCACCATCATATAGTTCCATTTTGAAAGCTGTGAGTATTATATTTTTTGCCCCAGCCATATTTGTCTCATCACTTCCCATCTGCTTCGATTTAATGTCAAACCTTGAGAGCCTCCAAATAGATTTGGTTCATTAGTACTCCATAGTATTATAACATCAAGCTCTATACCTGATCAAACTTCGGTTTGTGAAGGAGCGAGACATTCATGACCTAAAGACTATTTATAGTCTGTTTCGATAAATTAGATTATTTATTACTTACTTACTTAAGAATTATAAACAATTTACTCGATACTGGAACAACTGTGTTGTTTTCTAACCCACCAAACTCTTGCTTTTCATGTTATGATTGGTCGACATCAATTATGTTTCCGTATTAGATATATCAGTATTTGAAATATCATGACATTGTCTTGTAGTTTGCTGAGAAGAACTTAAAACTTTTTATTATTAAATTATGAAAAATTCTGGATACTATATCATTGAAAACTCCAAGAAAAACTCAAAGAGAAGGAAAAAACACTTTATGTTTCATAACAGAGGTTTGGTAAAAAAAATACCACCATAAAATCAACAGTAAACATAGATTATTGTAGTGTCATACATTATTTTATAACTTTATCCATCAACATGTTTCAGAAAAAACCTGTGGTGACATTTGACGAGAGACAGCTTCAACAGAATGAAAAACTGATAAAGGAAAGTAAAACAAAGGCGGTAACAGATTCAGGTATGGTTTAGAGGAGTTCATTATCAAAACATAAAGGCTTCCATTTGACCTTTGACATTTGACCTCTGATATCAAGAGTCATATAAATTTTTATTCATATGAAGTTGTGAATTTCAAAATCCAAGGGTCAAAAACAATTTTGGCAAGGAGAAATTCTCTACACAGGCATGAAAAGGTGTATATATGTGGTCATGTGCCTGACCACTTGGTTTCCCTTTGGCACTCAAGAAGATGGGTCAAGAAGAGTAATTAACACAACATGGAAGCTTGTTTGGCAGTTGTTTTGAAATAGTTGGTATTTAAAAGAAAATAGCAGGAGATAGAGATCTCTAATTTTAATAAAATTTTGGAAATTTAATTGTAAAACTGATCATCAATTTTAGAATAAACAGAATACAAAAACACATCCTTGTGTTACAGCAGAGGTGCGTGTAAACAGAAAACGTAGGAAACGTCGTGAAATGATGAACCAAGCAGCAGAGGAGGAACTTGCCGAGATCGGACTGGAACAGGACATGTTACGGGAGCTCAACCTCAAACCTGCAACAGCTAAAAAACTAGCACAGAAAGGGCCACAAAAGGGGGCAACAAGTGTTAAAGAACCTCCAGCTTCTCAGGCAGGCATCCTTAATGTAACACCACAACAACCAACTCCTTCAGGGAAGAAATCCAAACAAACTATAGCATTAGACCTGGGCGCGATGATAGATGCTTTAGAGGTGAGTGTTATACCTGGAGGTGATGATAGACACTTTTGAGGTGAGTGTTATACCTGGGCGCGATGATAGACGCTTTAGACGTGAGTATTTTACCTGGGTGTGATGATAGACACTTTAGAGGTGAGTGTTATACCTGGGGGTGATGATAGACGCTTTAGAGGTGAGTGTTATACCTGGGCGCAATGATAGATGCTTTGGAGGTGAGTGTTATACCTGGGCGCAATGATAGACGCTGTAGAGGTGAGTATTTTACCTGGGTGTGATGATAGACACTTTAGAGGTGAGTGTTATACCTGGGGGTGATGATAGACACTTTAGAGGTGAGTGTTATACCTGGGCGCAATGATAGATGCTTTGGAGGTGAGTGTTATACCTGGGCGCAATGATAGATGCTTTGGAGGTGAGTGTTATACCTGGGCGCAATGATAGATGCTTTTGAGGTGAGTATTTTACCTGGGTGCGATGATAGACACTTTTAAGGTGAGTATTATACCTAGGCGCGATGATAGACACTTTTAAGGTGAGTGTTATACCTGGGCGCAATGATAGATGCTTTGGAGGTGAGTGTTATACCTGGGCGCGATGATAGACACTTTTAAGGTGAGTGTTATACCTGGGCGCAATGATAGATGCTTTGGAGGTGAGTGTTATACCTGGGCGCAATGATAGATGCTGTAGAGGTGAGTATTTTACCTGGGTGTGATGATAGATGCTTTTGAGGTGAGTGTTATACCTAGGCGCGATGATAGACACTTTTAAGGTGAGTGTTATACCTGGATGTGATGATAGACGCTTTAGAGGTGAGTATTTTACCTTGGTCTGACATCGTACCAGGAACCTTAGATCTAAACCTGAGGTTATGCAGGTCAAGCTGTAACCAACAGTCTGTGCTGTGGATATCTTTTAAATAAATATTTATTATTCTCTTTTATTACTGTTGTTTTGATATTATTCTTTTTTCTAATGAAATGTCATTTTATTCCTTTTCAATTTCATTTTGTTCCAGAAAAAGAAAGATGTGCCAGTTCAAAAGAAGGAAACTCAACCTTCAGTAGACAAGGCCAAGAAAAATACAGATACTCAGGTGAAGCAAAATTTCTTTTATTTCAAATAAAAATCAGATTTGATACCAAAATTATGAATTTTCATTAAACTTGATATAAATGTTTATTACAAATTTCTCTTAACCTCTGTGTGAATATTAATTACAAATTTCTGTTAACTTCCATCTAATTATTAACAACAAATTTCTGTTAAACGCTGTCTGAATGATCATTATGAATTTCTGATGATTTCCGTCTTAATTTCTGTTATACTCTATCAAGATATTGATAAAGAGTCATTAATTAGTATAATTTCCTGAAATAACCTGGTATGCATTTAATTGGAATTACTGTAACACACTACTTCCCAGATAGTGATGATATATTACAGTTCCAATTCTTTCTACAGAAGGGTGTTAGACCTCACAACATGCTTGATGCAAGTGCGCCTATGTTGAAAAGAGGAAAAGAGAGAGAAAATCCAAAACCGAAGAAACCAAGTCCTCTGAAAAAGGTGAAATTTGTGTTGTGTTTAAATAGCAAGTTGACTTCTAATGTTTCCCTTGACACAGCCTCACTTTGGTTGACTTTTTTTGAGTGTTCGCCCCTGTCCCTATGAGAGTACATTTTATGTTTTACCTTGACCGAAACATACCAGAGTCTATAGATATGCTAGCTACCACTTCCAGTGTAATACTCATAATGATATCAGTGTAATGACTGGTACACAAGTTGTCAGGATAGTGTGTGGGGGGGGGGGGGGGGGGTAGGATGTTTGGGGCCTTCCACAATATACTTCAGTGTGGTAACATTAGAAAGCTAGCTACAATTCCACACTTAAAGGCTTACATGTACATATCAAAACCTTCCAAAAACACGCGCCTTGAACACATTCACGAGCATGCAACACTAAGGCATCTTTAAATGACCCTAGCTGTTGAAAGGATGTTGGACAATACAAACCAAACCAGTCTAAAACATGTTGTCAGTCTGTGAGTCTCAGTTCTGTCAACTTTGTATGAATAATTTTATGAATACATTTCTTCCACACAGGTGATCCTCAAGGAGCGCGAGGAAAAGAAGAAATTACGGCTACTAGACGACTCTGTTCCTGGCAACTCTGGGTAGGTATTTACACTGTACTAGGTAGGTATTTACACAATACAGGATAGGTATTTACACAATACAGGGTAGGTATTTACACAATACTGGGTATGGATTTACACTGTACTGGGTAGGTATTTACACAATACAGGGTAGGTATTTACACTGTACTGGGTAGGTATTTACACAATACTGGGTATGTATTTACACTGTACTGGGTAGGTATTTACACAATACTGGGTATGTATTTACACTGTACTGGGTAGGTATTTACACAATACAGGGTAGGTATTTACACTGTACTGGGTAGGTATTTACACAATACAGGGTAGGTATTTACACTGTACTGGGTAGGTATTTACACAATACTGGGTAGGTATTTACACAATACAGGGTAGGTATTTACACTGTACTGGGTAGGTATTTACACAATACAGGGTAGGTATTTACACAATACAGGGTATGTATTTACACAATACTGGGTATGTATTTACACTGTACTGGGTAGGTATTTACACAATACAGGGTAGGTATTTACACAATACTGGGTAGGTATTTACACAATACTGGGTATGTATTTACACTGTACTGGGTAGGTATTTACACAATACAGGGTAGGTATTTACACTGTACTGGGTAGGTATTTACACAATACAGGGTAGGTATTTACACAATACTGGGTAGGTATTTACACAATACTGGGTTGGTATTTACACAATACTGGGTAGGTATTTACACAATACAGGGTAGGTATTTACACAGTACTGGGTAGGTATTTACACAATACAGGGTAGGTATTTACACTGTACTGGGTAGGTATTTACACAATACAGGGTAGGTATTTACACAATATTGGGTAGGTATTTACACAATACAGGGTAGGTATTAACACTGTACTGGGTAGGTATTTACATTGTACTGGGTAGGTTTTACACAACCCTGGGTAGGTAAAAAACCATGAAAAAAAACAAATTTTGTAGAGAATTTTGTGAAAAATACTTTTTGCTTCCAACTTTAGGTAAACAATGCAAACCTTCAGCATTCATTTGTATACATATTTTATGCACACTGAATAATGTTATCAGAACATTACATCTATATATATATAAAATGTTAATTTTGAATTTGTTGTGCTTGCAGTGTTCCTGTAGGTATTGGAGTGATCAGTGCTGAAAGTGACTTATCACAGGATGGTAAGTACAAGTGTACTACGTGTAGATATTATTTCTATATAAACTCTTTATCTCACTTTACAATTTCACTGGAACCACAAGGGCAGCAGTGGTGGTGTGGTTGTAGCGTCTGGTGGTCTTTATCACAAGACCTCCACCTCCAGGTTGTGGGTTTCAGGCCTACATTGAGGCAGTCGTCAGGTACTAGTGGCAGGTTGGTGATTTTTCTCCAGGAAATCCTTCTTATCTCTGTCATTCATGTCCAACACATCCTGATAGTTAATTGGTTGTATAGCAATGATAAACTAACTGAAAGCCCAGTTTTATCAAATTTGATAAATGTTGTAAAGTTATCTATTTATATAGGGATCTATAGTGATGTTTATGTGGGGCTCAATGTTGATGTTTATGTGGGGCTCAATGTTGATGTTTATGTGGGGCTCAATGTTGATGTTTATGTGGGGCTCAATGTTGATGTTTATGTGGGGCTCAATGTTGATGTTTATGTGGGGCTCAATGTTGATGTTTATGTGGGGCTCAATGTTGATGTTTATGTGGGGCTCAGTGTTGATGTTTATGTGAGGCTCAATATTGATGTTTATGTAGGGCTCAATGTTGATGTTTATGTGGGGATTAATGTTGATGTTTATGTGGGGCTCAATGTTGATGTTTATGTGGGGCTCAATGTTGATGTTTATGTGGGGCTCAATGTTGATGTTTATGTGGGGCTCAATGTTGATGTTTATGTGGGGCTCAATGTTGATGTTTATGTGGGGCTCAATGTTGATGTTTATGTGGGGCTCAATGTTGATGTTTATGTGGGGCTCAATGTTGATGTTTATGTGGGGCTCAATGTTGATGTTTATGTGGGGCTCAATGTTGATGTTTATGTGGGGCTCAATGTTGATGTTTATGTGGGGCTCAATGTTGATGTTTATGTGGGGCTCAATGTTGATGTTTATGTGGGGCTCAATGTTGATGTTTATGTGGGGCTCAATGTTGATGTTTATGTGGGGCTCAATGTTGATGTTTATGTAGGGCTCAATATTGATGTTTATGTGGGGCTCAATGTTGATGTTTATGTGGGGCTCAATGTTGATGTTTATGTAGGGCTCAATGTTGATGTTTATGACGGACTCTATATTGATGTTTATAGCGTAAGTTTTATGGGGGTACTTGATTTTGTTGACATTTTTAGCTCAATAATTCTATTTATGCTAATTTCAACAGTTAGTAGACATGAATTTGTTGATTAAGTATCTAGGAAATAAAAAATAATGATATCACAGTAAGCACATTTTCATCTGTAAAAACCTTTAATTTCTAATTGTCTGGTCATTATATGTGTTTTATAAGTAAATCTGCACACAGAAATACAACTGACAGTAGAAGACATTGGTTATTTGCTATGCTGTGTCAAGCAACTCTACAGCTACCTAGCTGTCACCACCAAATCCCAATAAAAGGATGTTTTGATGTTGAACTGATCACCACATAGAAATTTTTATCATGGTAATGAATTGTATAAATGTTTGATAGAATTTATCATGAAAATATAATCTTTCTCTTCCTCATTTTCAGCCTATAGCTTTAAAGGGTCAGCTGACTATGGGGGTGTGACCCCAGCCAGTAACGACTTGTCACCTATAAGTCAAACTTCTCCCATCAGCATGAGTCCCCTGTCTCCTGGAGCCAGTCCCTTGAGTTCAGAGGTCAATAGTCCAATTGCAGGAACTATTGGAAAAGAGGCTGTCCTGAAGATACACAGCAGAAGATTTAGAGAGTAAGTGACACAGAATAAGATTTAGAGATTAGAATGGGATCAAGAGAGCACTAAATGATTTAAAATGAGATTTATAGCATAAGAGGACAAAAAGAAGATTTAGAGATTAAGTGACCTATAATGAGATATAAGGTGTACCAAGTGTCTGTGCATGCCTCATCATTAGGAAACAGCAGGTGTTTATCAGCATATGTAAAAAAATTCTTTATAACAGTTTGACGATAGTTAGTAGTCATTTGTCATATTATACTGGTCTGTGAGATGAATAAATATATCATATTTTTCCTCATAAAGGGAAACAACTTCATTCCGATATTTGGTTGGTTTTTGTAATTAGTTTGTACATAAATCTGGATAACTTGACTGAGACTTGTTTGAGAATCACGAATCCAGATTGAAGCTAGATAAAATGGCGACATCTGAACCTTGTTGTGTTAGTGTTTTATTTTAAACAAAGATAGGATTTTACTTCCACAGTACTCAATAGAATGATTGAACCTTGTCTGTGATTAAAGTGATAATTGATGGAATTACGTTGATAAAAAGAGGATTTTGTAAGATATTGATAGAAGTATGACATTTCTACTTCCATGTAATTGTGTATTTGTCTGTGTTGATACTTTAGGTACTGTAACCAGGTGTTAAACAAAGATATAGACAACTGTTGTACTACACTACTCCAGGACCTTGTACGTTTCCAGGATCGGGTCTACCATAAGGAACCTAACAAGGTCAGTATCCACAACAGGAATCCCCTCCCCAATATCTGCCCTAAACCGTCCCCACAACAGGAATCCCCTCCCCAATATCTGCCCTCAACCGTCCCCACAACAGGAATCCCCTCCCCAATATCTGCCCACAACCGTCCCCACAACAGGAATCCCCTCCCCAATATCTGCCCACAACCGTCCCCACAACAGGAATCCCCTCCCCAATATCTGCCCTCAACCATCCCCACAACTGAAACCCCCTCCCCAATATCTGCCCTCAACCCTCCCCACAACTGAAACCCCCTCCCCAATATCTGCCCTCAACCCTCCCCACAACTGAAATCCCCTCCCCTCACGATTAGATATCATTAAATTTGTACACCATCTCTATAATTGGTTTCTTGTGTGAAATGTTTATCTTGGATAAAATATAATCACAAACAATATTATGTATTGACCTATGATCATATAAGAGATGGAAATATGGGTGTTCACTGCAGCATACATGTAGAGTTTAACTGCAACAATCCCACAGAAGCCCACACACACCCTTCACCCACACAAACACACCTCCTCATTTATATTTTCTGTTGGTATCACTAACCACATTCATGGATTAAAAGAAAAAGGTTTACAATCTCAAGTTATTATAATATGTATAAATCTATTTCAGGCGAAATCCAAAAGAAGATTTGTATTAGGTCTAAGGGAGGTAACCAAGCACCTTAAACTGAAGAAGATAAAATGTGTGATTATCTCCCCTAACCTGGAGAAAATCCAGTCCAAAGGTGAGATACAGTGGAGATATACTGACATCTGTAACAGATTGTAACTTTGTGTCAAAATTTACTATATCATTTTTAAAACAGTTTGAAAAATTAGAATTACAAAATTTGTACACTATTGAAAAGCATTAGTTTAACATATATTTTACATAAGTTTGTATGTATGTGACCTCAAGGAGAAAGAATAATTGGAATAAACCAAGATACACTGCACATGGACAGAATTTGTATTGGGCTAGTTTAATGCTATTTTTTTTTAAATATTGTAATACTCGTTCAGTAATGAAAATATGTTTTCAGCATAGTTAGTAACAGCAGATGAAATTAACACCAGATTTTTGTTGTGATCATACTCAGTACATACAGATAAAGTCATCCATTTTCATTAAGTTTTTTCTACCATATACAATACTCACTTTAAATAAAAAACTGTTCATTCTTTGCCTTCAGTCTTATTGGGGGAAAAAAGAGATCTTGGAAAGCCAGTAAACACAACTGGACTGTTATTCTTCAATATATTAAACCTGTTGGTTTTTTAACAAATATTTTGCTTAATATTTCAAAAACTGAATGTTAAGCTAGCATTTCCTGTAAAGATGAATCTATTTTTTTTTTTACTTATAACACTAAAAATATCCAAATCTTGGTGATTATTGACAGCTGGCTTTCAAAATTGTTGAAGATGGTTTCACATGATTGAGACGCGATACTATCAGCTCTAGTGATTTGTTTCTATGTGCTGTAGCTTAAAACTGATTCTATCCATTTTGAAATATTGATAACCTTGCTGGTTGTAGGCGGTCTGGATGATGCCCTCAACAACATTCTGAATCTGTGTAACCAGCAGAACGTACCCTTCGTGTTCGCTTTAGGACGCCGCTCACTTGGAAGGGCATGTGCAAAACTTGTTCCTGTTAGTGTTGTCGGTATATTTAACTACGACGGAACTGATGTAAGTTTAACTCTTTTTTGTCATCAGCAAAAAGAAGAAAAAACTTCCAGACAAGATTATGTGCTTTAGGTTAATCTGACTTTATGTTATACTTATAATAATTAACGGACTGTAAACAGATATATTTTAATGATAAACTTAACACAATATAATGTACATATTATCATAAATCTAATCTAAATGTAGCATTTTACACAGTGGAAGTATTGTGTTAATCGCAATTTCACTACCTTGTGTATGAAAAATTATTGCAGAAGCACAACTTTATCATTGTGTTAACTTGCTGACTAAAAACAAAAATTATTGAATTTTATTGGAACAAACAATGTACATTTACAGTATGGTTTTCATAAAATGTTGTAAGTTTGACAATAATTCAGTACTAGAAATTACAGTGTTGTCTCCTCAGTTCTTCATTTCTTTGAAGGTAAATGATTATTCCAGTATTATTAAAACCAGTTATGAATACAATGATAGGGATAGAAAAACATTTTGACAGAAAAGTTGAAGGTTGTCAACTTAATTAGGTAAAAAATATAGCATATTTAGATGTGAATGCTTGCAAATCTGAAATCTGAGGAAAAAAATTAATTAACAAAGAACAGCAACGAAAATAATTGGTGAGTTGGTGTGTCATTCTACAATCAATTTCATTAAGGATAACAAAATTAAATATCTGTTTCTCCAGGACAACTTTAAGGGTCTGATGGATCTGACAGCAGAAGCACGTCAGGCATATAAAGAGATGGTTAGTGTGATTGAGAAGGAAATCCGTGAGTATCCAACACGCGGAGCAGCAGCGTCCGCACCTCATATCTATGCCCATATGGGACACTCCCGGACACCCTCCGGAGCCAGTGTCCTTTCCTTTACAAGTAGTATACTGTCGGAACCAATTTCTGAGAATTATCCACACTCAGAGCCTGAAACAGACAGCAAAGGGTATGAAATCATCAAAGATTCTCCAGACCTTGATCAATATTTCAGTTCTACAAGTGCAATCCAGAATGAAGGAATTCAGTACAATATACAGGCAAAGGTCAAGGACATCGATGATGGAAATGAGGCTGATACAGAAGATTATGGAGATTTGCCCAGGGTCAGAGTTCAGTCGGGTATCAGTGCTGATATTGACAAAGATAGTGATAATGACTCGGAGCAGGGTTCACGCGACACAGTAGAGGAACTACCTCACATAGACTCCATACATAGTAGTACTTATGATCTCAGTACCGAAATTCTGTCACAACATTCGGGGCGTACCATAGAAAACTGTGAAGCTATGTCTACTCACTCGTCTAGAACTCTTGGTGATGGAAGTTCCACGATTCTTGCTGATCCTGGAGAACGATCGAAACATGACACTCCGAAAAGTACGGAAAGTCCAAGTAGCACACTACAACGGGGCAAGGTGATTGACGAAGAAAGGATACAGAACTGGGTTGACGAGACACAATCACGCCTAGAAAATCTCCAGCTTCAGTGTAGTACTGAAGATAGTGACAATACAGACAGTGAAAGTGAAACTGAAGAAAATTCTGTGAATGAAAATGAAAAAGATGATTCATATACAGTGGAGGTGAAAGGTTAATGTTAGACAGTCAAGGTCAAAGATCAATCTTAGACATTCAGGGTTAGAGGTCACTCATAGACAGTCATAGGTTAAAGTCAATTCAAGACAAATTACGTATAAGATATTGATAAGGGCCAATATATCAAAGGTCAAAATAGTCAGCATTCTGCAAATGATGTAGGTCAAGGTCATTCTGACACTTATGGAAAAGTTCAAGGTCAGGAAGATCAGAGTTATGTCATATCAATATCCCTAAAAAAATGTTGTCAGATTTGAGAAGGTTAAAGGTCATGTGGAATATTGTAAGGCTTAAGGTCATAAAGTTTTGTCATGGACGGAAATAAGAAAACAGATTTTCCTCATGGCAAAATAATACAGCATTCATGTATTGTCTAGTTAATATAGAAACATTGATGTGATATGGATAGTACAAGCATTGAACTATATTTTGTTTGGGTGATTTTATATTATTGAGAATGGTGGGGTATGTACAGTCCTAAAAGAAAAATAAATTGTTACAATTTGTACATAGTGAGTTAGTTAGAGCTTTGTCTATTTAAGCCTCTGTTGTGTTCAGGTTTGTCTGTATCTTATACTTGTAAGACATAGAAGTTGTTTCTACATAAAGTCATATTCAAAATGTTATGTTGAATAACTAAAATAAACAGATTTTAAAGTCAAAAAAAAAGATTTCTAAAACAACTTACTGTGTTCCCTATATTTTTCTTGTCAAACTTTGAATGAGTATAATTTATCATTGATTTGTTTCTTTCATTTCAAACTTTGCAAATAAATCAACAACTGGGTAAAACTGCCTCATATCTTTCAGTAATGTTATATTACAGAAAGATTTCTCAAGTCTGACATGTTTCTATCATAATTAATGACATGTTTTTGATACACAAAAATTTCTAAAAGATGACAAGGCAGAGGAAACTGTGAATGTCGTCCAAATTTACATAAACAGTTAAAAAATGAAAATTTGAGAGTGCTATAAATTAACAATGGATTTAGATATTTTGTCAAAATCTCTTTAGTAGATGGAGGTAAGAAAAATTTTTTGGTAGAAATTAACGAGGAAAACCATATATGGATCTGAATTCTTAAAGGGCAGCTATTGGCTATTGGTAATTTTATTGACGTCACGTTTCAATAGCTTATTTTCTAATACTCATTGGTTTTAAGTTACTCCAGGAAAAAAGCCATTGAAATAGAGATTGTCAGTGTTATTTTTATTGAACTGATATTCAGCATTTTTATATAATTTGCAGCTTCTCTAGCATTTATCAAGCAATATCATTTTTACGCTCTAGCCTTTAGATTTTTATAGTTGATAAGGTCATCTATCTTGTTTTTTCCCTTTATACATCCTTATTACCAAACCCGCAATTTCTTTATACACTGTAAGACAGTGTTAAAGTATGATAGCTTAAAGACATTAAAAGTGTTGATTACAAATCTCTGAGAAATTTTAAATTCTGTTTGTAATGCACATTGAAAAATAGTGCAGAATGTAGAAAAAGTGATTTAAACAGAGAATGTAAAAAACTAAATTTCGGTATGGACATATGAACATCAAAATTCAGGAAAAAAAAATTTGACAGTATTTCACCAGAATTCCTGGATAGAGTAATGTTAAATTGAGATTAGTAATACAGACCCTATGGACCTCTTGTAAATGTTTCTAAATCTTAGAAATACATTGATGTTTTGACAGCATTGTTCATAACCAATATAACTGTTGATAAAAATATCAAATTTCCCAGTGATTAAAACAACTATTTTTGCAGAGGAAATGGGTTGAATTATTTATTGGTTCAGTGCTGTGCTCTTGGGGAATCTCATTTGATGTATAGCTATCTGAGTAAAGATGTCAGATGATCAGTGTTAAGTCATACAGTACATGTAGACACCAGAACTTTTGTACTTGTTTAAAAATAAATGAGATCAAAAAGTTCTATTCCACATAACAGCATTTAGTGATACATGACACTGTCTATGAAGTCACGCTTTGTGTTATTGAGGTTTTACTGTAGACAATTTGTCTAGCCTACACATTTAAGGAAAAGGAGTTGTCAACAAAGGGCCAAAATGAGCCAAATTTAGAAAATTTCATACTCTTGTTTAGAATAAGGTGATTGAAATTTTGATGCCTGTTTATTCTTGTTTTTAGTAGAAATGATAGCAGAGAAAGCTGGGCTTATCTCAGAGTGCTGATTTTATTCCAAATTTCTGAATGTAGAGAAGCTTGATAAATGCAAGACAAGCAAACCAGCTATATTTTAAAAACTTTGTGTTTTGGTTTGATCATCAGTGGAAGCCTTGTATAAGCAATTGTCTGATTTATAGACGTGATGTTGTGTTTCCATTTTGTTTATAGGAGCAAATTATTTGATTCAAATCAGCTTGATATTTAAGACTTTGCATCGCCATAAATCCACATCCTAAAGCATTTTGTCTTGTATCTAATTTCTTAGAATGTAAGATATGTTGTAAATACCTGTACTTGTTATATCTGGAAATATATTTTCTTGAAATGGATTAGTGATCCAAAATCTGTGTCACTGAGAAAAAGAGTAATTCTTTGTAAATGGAAATGTTTGGAGGGATTAAATTGTTGCTAGGCTTGTCAGACAAGATTGTAAGCAGATGTGATGTTCTTCTTAGGGCTATGAATTCCAAGATGTGGAATATAACTTAGAAAATACAATACAGTGGACTCTGTCTAAACCGGACTCTGTGCAATCCAGATATTTGCCTAATCTGGTCAAATGATTAAGTCCCAGTTCCAACAATGTTTTAACAATGGACTCTCTACTCTCCGGAACTCTCTACAAACCTGCCAAATTATTTGGTTCCAAAGGTGTGAAGTTTAGACAGAATCCACTGTACTTACAAAGTCCTTTTTTAAAATTTAAGTTCTTTTTATGATAAAATATATGAGTATCCTTTTGATATGTGATTGATAAAATCAGGTTAGGGATTTCTTATTTTAACGAGCTTTTTCATGATGATCAATTAAAAAATCTGGATTATTTGTATGTAGGGAGAAGTTTAAAGACTGATACCATAAGTACCAGGTAATTTGTACATCTCTGAAAGCGCATGTAAAAATTTCTATATCATTATTATTGAAAAGTTTGTTTTAAACTGCTAAAATTGTTTTTAAATAAATTGTTGGAAATCTGTGATATCATTAAGAATATACTTCTCTGATGTTTTCACTGAAAGGAAGACATACAGGAAATTCAATATAAAATAAATTCTTGGAATACACTTATACACTTTGTTATATAATGTTCTACTTATAAACTTGAAAAAAGGTGATTTTTGAGAAGTTTTGAAGAAATGTCACGTGTGTAGCACTTTTTCTGATGGCGTAGTTTACAGCGCGATTCAGTCAATGGTGACAACAATTTAATGTTTTTGTGATGCATAGGTATAACACTGGAAATCTCAGCTAAACTCCAATCAAACTTTCTATGCATTATCGACATAAATCACAGATTTCAAATTTTTGAATTCCAACTTGGTGGATGATTTTCCCAGATTTCTAGACCCGAGAACAAATAGTTTAGCTAACCTCTTAATCTTGGAAAAACTCTTTTTGGGTGAAAATTGCAAGAAATTAAGCACTGTGACCCCCAGCTTTTCATTCATTAAAACTTTCATGGAAAATTTCTCTACGAAAATATGAAATATCAAAAAGAGTTTATCCAAATATAAAATCTTAAAAAAAAAAAAAAAAAATCATTTTAGAGAATTTTCAATTTTTTGGTTGCTATGCAGATAAATGCTCGTTAAATCAAATGAAAAGTTAGCATTTTTCACATTGTTTTTTCTTTATATCCAAGTATCACACCCTTATCTCAAAATTAAAGAAAAACATTTATCTGAAAAAGTTGCCACCAGAATGGTGTTATTCTGGAAATAATTTTTAAAAAACCACTATATGTGAAGATGAATTATTTCCTGTTAAACATATTCTGACACCTGTACTGGATAAAGTTGTGCAACAAGTTATTGACTTTTTAATTTTAATCTACTTTATATGATCAAACTTTTTAAAACAATCATCAGAAAAATAAGTTTAATTCTGGGATTTTACTTCTCCGAGGAGTACATCCTTAAGATAAAGTCATGGAAATACTTTAAAATATATTATCTGCTTGTAAGAATATATATATAATATTATATATCAGTAATTGAACAAGTGATTTAAAAATATTTTTGTAGTCACTAATCCAATATCAAAGTATTGAAGATATCTCATGTTGAAGCTGTTGTATAGAAAATGTGTTCTGGACATTTGTGTAAAACTTGTACTGTCTTATGAAAAGTTCTTTGTAATGTTTGGTGTCTAGCTATGGCTGAAATTCCTTGATTCCTGGTGTTCATGGTGTTTAACCAGCAGTAAGTCCATGTCTTGTAATAAGCCTATCTATATTTATCAGTTAGGGTAAAATTAACACATGTTACATTTGTCCTGTAATAAGCTGAACACGAGATTTTAAATTGACACATGCAATTAAATGTATGTGTGAAATTGGCACAGACATACGTACATGCACATGTGAAATTTACACAGACACATGTATGTGTGAAATTTACAGACGCACGTACATGCACATGTGAAATTCACACAGACATATGTACATTTATTTGTGAAATTGGCACAGACACATGTACATGTACATGTGAAATTGGCACAGACACATGTACATGTACATGTGAAATTGGCACAGACATACGTACATGTACATGTGAAATTGGCACAGACACATGTACATGTATATGTGAAATTGGCACAGACATACGTACATGCACATGTGAAATTCACACAGACATATGTACATGTACATGTGAAATTGGCACTGACACATGTACATGTGAAATTGGCACAGACACATGTACATGTGAAATTGGCACAGACATACGTACATGTACATGTGAAATTGGCACAGACATACGTACATGTACATGTGAAATTGGCACAGACACATGTACATGTATATGTG